TGGGAAGGAACAAGAGATCTTCACATATCAGTCGCTGCTGGCGTACACGGTACTCCTGAGAAACCTGTCACCACAAGAGCAGCAGAGCATCAGAACGTATCGGAGTTATGGAAACTCCGCGGAGCTCGCATGGCACCACCTCAAGTGCCTTTACCAAGCAAACGACAGCGTGACACAAAGCAGACTCATGCAACAGCTGACAACAATACAGATGAAGACCGGGGAAAAGGCGATGCAGTATATGAGTCGCTGCCAGACCCTCCGTGACCGCCTGCTTCGGTGCGGAGGAACGATCACTGAAGAAAGCTTCGTGACACTTGTCCTCGCCGGGCTCCGGCCAGAATGGAGAACCACACGATCACTTCTTCGAGCCCACGGAAGAATCTCGGAGATGCACCTCTGCGCCGAGCTTCACGCTGAACAACAGGAGATGGATCTGTTCGAGGAAAGACAACCAAGGAAGCAACAGCAGTTAGTCTTCTACACTCAAAGAAGAAATGACAACAACTACAACCGACGCAGCAAGCAAGATCAACGCGACAACCGAGGACTCACCATCGTGCCGCCGTTCTGCCACAACTGTCAGACTTCCGGGCACTCCAAGGTCAACTGCAACCGCCCTCGCGTTTACCGTGCAGCAGACCCACAAGTCGCTTCCACTCAAGCAAGTCCTCCAAGGCGCTCTTCAACATCTGCACAACAAACACCCAACATCATCAACTGCATGGTACACATCGACAATTGCGCACCCGATTCACCACCCACTTACGCACCAGACGAAGAGGAATTCCCGCCGCCGCGCTCGCAAGGACTTCAGGTCAACCCGACATACGCTGCAGTCGCTAACGCCGAACCCACCGGGCGGAACACCTGGTTCTTGGACAGTTGCTGCGGTCAGCACATGTGCTCCTCCGGACGCTTCGTACAACACGAGCGACGCCTCAACCGCGACGTCGTCATCACCGTCGCCAACAACGAAAACCTGAAAACAAACAGACAAGGCGTGGTTCAGTTACAATCAATGGAGACAAACGTTATTCTTCAGCTCAACAAGGTCCTCATCGTCGACAATCTGGGATACAACCTACTAAGCGTAAGCCAACTAATGGCTAAGGGGATTCACCTGGAGTGCGACTCCTTCTCCAACGAGTTCCGACTTTACCACGGGAAGGGAGGCCTCTTCATCGGTCGTGCCCTCCTGAAATCCGGCGTCTTCGTGTTGGACTTCGTCCCCGACCGCGGTACTGCCGACAGTGACGGTATCGTATCATTCGCCGCCTGGACTCACCCGCCGGATCTTGATCCCGACTTCGACAGTGACGGCTTCTGGCACTCCAACACCATACCTGCAGCAGAGAGAACACGAGCATTAGCAGTTATCAGACAAGAAAGACAAGTACCCGCAAGTGTCCCAACAAAACCATCACCTGCAGTATCGGCAGCAGGACCCAGCCAAGTACCACAACCAGCGACACGAGGACCGCCAACCGAAGCAGACCAACTTATGCCCGCCACACGAGAAGCTTGCCGAAGTCCCGCTTCGGTCGTCGCGTTCTTCTCCAACGCCGACATCTACCACCGCTCGCCCGGTCACCGTGCTCCCGACGACATCTGGCACCAACGCCTCGGACACCCTGCAAACAGCACAATACTTCAAACAATCCAAGCAGAGGTGTTAGAACGCAACGCCCTTCTGACGACGAGCGGTCAAGAACTTCGACGACCACGCGCACGGTGCTTCACATGCCCCGAAGCAGATCTTCCTCATCAACCTTTTTCATCCCATCACAACCCAAGCGCACCTACTTACGCTCCAATGGAAAAAGTCTACAGCGATATTTTAAACATGCCTCGAGACGACGCCGAAGCCGACTTTAACTACGTCATCACTTTCATCGACGCCGCAACCAGATATGTCTGGCACTTCAATCTCAAAACGCGCGACCAAGCCTTCGAAGCCTTCACAACATGGCTCCCCATCGCCGAACGAGAATCAGGACTCAAACTCAAGAGCTTCCAGTCAGACGGTGCACTGGAATACCAGTCACAACGCTTCAGGACCTATCTGGCGGAAAGGGGAATCAGACGCCTGGTGTCCCTGCCCTATGCTCACCAACAGCAGGGGGTAGCAGAACGCATGAATCGGACCTTGCAGACGACGATGCGAAAACTGCTTCAGGGGATGCGACTGCCAACCACACTGTGGCCAGACGCGATGACACATGCTGTTCACCTCCACAACCTGCTGTCCTCGTCATCACTTCCCAACAACGCATCACCGCACCTGCTGTGGACAAGAAAAAGGGGCAGCACAAAATTACTCAGAGTCTTTGGCTGCATGGTACAGTACAGGCCCCACACAGCCCGAGCAGGACGCTTCACACAACGAGCTCAGTGGGGACTCCACCTCGGCATCGCGAAACATTTTCACGCGTGGAAAATTCTCGACATACAAGACAAAAACACGGTGGCATCACGAGACGTTATCTTCTACGAACGACTGACTCTACAGCATTACCTGGACAACCTTGCCAACACACAAGACCCCACCGACGGCCTCTCGGGACTTCGTTCCTTCGCCGATCGTGCTGCCGAAGCTGACGCAGCAGAAGAAGACGTACCTGGAGCCTCGGAAGCTGCCGGGCCACTCCCATTCTGTTCCGTACCTGTTCCACTCGATGAAGATAATCCCCTCGATAGCAACAACCTCGACACCTTTTACCACTTCGCCGACCAAGGTTACGCTACACCTCACCCCGTCGACACGAATATTTCGGAACGCATCGGCCCCAATTTCTTACCTGACCCCGAAGACGGTGACGAAGCAGCTTATTCCGGGAATGACAATTCCCCTCGACACACACCCACGGGACTCCAGATTCTAGGCCTCTGGGTCTCCGTCCAGCATCCGCCGCCGCCTTCTACGCGTGAGCCTTCAACCTTGTCGCAGGCTCTGGGGGGGGAACATAAGGTAAAATGGAAGGAAGCGATGGAAAAGGAGTTAAAAGCTCTGCAAGACCGAGAAACATGGAAACTGGTACCTGCAACGAGCATCAACGGGAAGAACGTTCTCTCGGGGAAATGGGTGTACCGCATCAAGACCAACTCAGACGGCTCCATCGAACGATTCAAAGCTCGATGGGTCGTACGAGGCTTCGATCAACGATACGGAACCGACTACACAGAAACCTTCGCTCCAGTCTCCCGTCACACCTCATTACGCATCCTACTCGCCGTCGCGGCCACGAAAACACTACCACTACGCCAAATCGATGTCGCGAATGCGTTCCTATACGCACCTGTGGACGCTGAGATCTTCGTCGAACAACCCCACGGATTCATCGACGACCCCACGAAAATATGCCGACTGACAAAATCCCTATACGGGATCAAGCAAGCCCCGCGGCTCTGGCAGCAGCATCTTCACAGCCGTCTCGTAAAAATCGGCTTCCTACAGCTACCACATGACCAAGGCATGTACCGACTGCAGAAGGGAAGAGATTACATTCTGCTCATCGTCTACGTCGACGACCTGCTCTACATCGGTTCTACCACCGACATCGTCACCCGGTTCGAAGGGGAGCTGAAAGGGGACCTGACGCTCACAGTGTCCGACTCAGTGACCCAGTACTTGGGGCTAAATATCGTCGAAGACAACTCGGCGTTCTACCTACACGCTGGAAAGTACGCAGGCACTGTCGCGAAGAAATTCGGACTAACACCGGCTACCGCCTCAACTCCCTACCGCTACGGAAACAACAACAGCGCCTCCGCAAAACTCCCCGCGAAGCAAATCCAGGAGTATCAACAGAAGCTCGGCTGCCTACTATTTGCAGCAGTAACCTGCCGACCCGACCTGTCCTATAGTGCAAGTCAACTGGCGACGCATCTGAAGCAACCGGAACAGGAGGATCTCGAGGAGCTCAACCGGGCACTACTCTACTTCATCTCCACGCCGACGATCGGACTTACCTACAGCAAAGCGACAACATCGTCCGTACAACTACTCGGATACGTCGACGCCGACCACGCGGGAGATAGGGAAAATCGACGATCTAGGACGGGCTACATCTACCGACTAGAACCCATCGGAACTATCTCCTGGCAGTCGAGCAAGCAGGAGTTAATCGCACTATCCTCTGCTGAAGCAGAGTACATCGCCCTTTGTACCGCGACCAAGGAAGGACTCTACCTGCGAGAGTTACTCGAGGAAGCGAAGATCGCGACCCTGGCCGCCTTCTCACTCTTCTGCGACAACCAATCTGCGATCAAAATCGCAAACAAGGACGGCTTCGCCAACCGAACCAAGCACATCGCCCTGCGGTACTTCTTCGTCAAGGATGAAATCGCGAAGGGGAGACTTCAACTCAGTTACTGCCCGACGACAGAAATGGCCGCAGACTATTTGACGAAGAAATTGGCGAAGGCAAAATTCGACTACTGCATGGTGCTGACCGGACAAACAAACGTCATCGGACCTGAACAAGTCAGCACTCCAGAAACGAAGGGGAGTGTTGAAAGTACATCAAAAGACTTAAGCGTTTCTGAAGTGTAACACTACACTCGAGGAAGATTGCAAGGGGTACGCGAGTCAACGGAGGTTACACGAGGGGGCGGACAAAGAACACGAAGGGTCTGGGACTCAAAGGGTCGCAACTGGAGGTTGCGACTGACCGTTACAGCATCACGGATGGTAACCGAAGCGGCAATCGAGTCGCTATGCGACTCGATAAACCGTTCCTGTAACTGTACTCTGCAACTGCTTTCTTATCTTCTATATATTGCTGTATGCTTGTTTCTTTAATTAATCACTTGTTCTCACATACTAGTACAAGGGTTCAACTGTCTCAACTTCCGCTGCACTACTCCAAGTCTCAAGTCCCTACAGCTGGGACTTAGTCTCTGCAAAAGATCCTAAGGGCTTTTTTTTGGCCCAACAGATAGGAAGCTTACTGCATTTAATTCTAGTTGGCGTGCATACTCAAGTTTCATCTGGGTTTGGGTTTTGCTCAGCTCGCTTGGGACTTGCCTGGTCGGCATTCCCTAACAGGCAGATTTCAGATTCCCTGACGCAACCGATCCTTTTTCCCTGACACCTGAGAGGGAGCAGGCGCCTTGATCAAGTGCTCTGCTTACCTAGCAAAAGTACCAGTAGTATTGCTTCCTCCTTGCGTCGTGCGATCGCGAGATTGCTTCGTGAGCGTCGGTAAGAGGTGCTTACCTCGTCAGCTTCCGTATCTCGATGTCGCACTCGCCCCGTTATTCCTGCGATCTTACTAATGGTATTCGTTGGTGCTTCCTCCCTGTCCATTGATCTGTCCTCCCCCCCGCCGTAGTTGCAATGGCTCCTCCAGCCACCGCCAAAGCTTCCACTGAGGTGCGTCATTAGCGTTATACACAACGGAAACCTCTCTTCTGATCGCGCGAATGCTGTCAGATTCCGATGGAGTGGATTCTCAACATTGCCGTGTCAAGTTCAGCAGCCTCATACAGGCTTTTGGATCATTCATGACGTCATCCTAGCGACGACATCCGGGCAATATATATTCACATAAGCCAGCACGCTTTTTGAGAATCACTTACTGGAGGTTGACGGTTGTCGTTCCTAGCCCAGGAAAAAAAACGAAAAAGTCGAGATTCAGGACGACGTCTTAGGGTAGTCAGCGTCGTCCACAGGACCATCTTTAGATACGCCAACAGACTCTCCATGATGCTTCTCCTCGATGTGTCTTGGCGGGGAAACTTCCATTCGGATCTGATTAGGACTCTCTCGTTCGTTCCCTAAAACCCGAAATCTCCATGCCATATGGCAGCGCCAGGGCTGGATGCATTAGGCACGCTAAATATATCACATTCGGACGATGACAAGTGTTCGCCTCAAGGTCCGTCCGTGCGTCTTGTCCCCCTCTCCTTTCCTTGCAGCCTCAGGAAAGCGCCAAGGGCCACGTGCGCCGAGGCCTTCTGCTGCAAATCAATAATATGCCTTAAGCTCGTCCCCTTGCCCACTCTCCCCTCCTTCTCCGCATCCCTTCTCCCCTCCTTCCATCGCAGGCTCAGCCTCAGGAGGGTGCCAAGAGCCACGTGCGTCGCGACCTGCTGCTGCAGACGCAAGCAGCAGAGTGTAGACCTGCCTTACCACTCCTTCCATGATCCATCATTTCTCCTCTCTCCCCCCCCTCCTGCCTCTCTCCCCATCGCAGGCTGAGCCTCAGGAGGGCGCCAAGAGCCACGTGCGCCGAGACCTCCTGCTGCAGATTCAGGCGGCGGTGCAGAAGCAGCGGGAGGAGGAGAAGGTGTTTGAAGTCTCGGGCAAAGATGGAGTAGCCCCTCCCCTCGCTCCCCTCCTTCTCCGTTTCTCCCTCTCTCCCTCACAGGCTCCGCCTCAGGAGGGTGCCAAGAGCCACGTGCGCCGAGACCTGCTGCTGCAGATTCAGGCGGCGGTGCAGAAGCAGTGGGAGGAGGAGAAGGTGTTTGAAGCCACGGCCAAGGATGGAGCAGCCCCGGGGTCCGGCCCCCGTGACGACCGCTTCTTTGGCAACTTCCCTTACCCCTACATGAACGGGCTGCTGCATTTGGGCCACGCGTTTACTCTGTCCAAGGTGAGAGCTGTTCGAGGACGACAAAGAGAGGGAGCAACCCCGCTGGGGTCGGGCCTTCCTGACGACTGCTTCGTTGGCAACTTCCCTTACCCCCACCCCACATAAACGGCCTGCTGCACCTGTTGCACTCCCATGATCTGCCCTCGTGTACCATTGCGGTTTGAGGCGCCTCAGAACATTGCTTCCCTGACCCCGCCTTGCCTCCACACAACCCGCTATAATCCCGCCTCTCGCACTACCTTGACGTACTACCACCTTTACGTACTGCCTGTGGCAGGTGGAGTTTGCAGCGTCCTACCATCGCCTGCGGGGAGCCAACGTGCTGTTCCCCTTCGGATTCCACTGCACCGGCATGCCCATCAAGGTATGCCCATCAAGGTATGCCCATCAAGGTATGCCCATCAAGATATGCCCTGCAAGCAAGGTATGCCCATCAAGGTATGCCCATCAAGGTATGCCCATCAAGGTATGCCCAGCAAGGTATGCCCATCAAGGTATGCCCATCAAGGTATGCCCATCAAGGGATGCCCATCAAGGTATGCCCATCAAGGTATGCCCATCAAGGTATGCCCATCAAGGTATGCCCATCAAGGTATGCCCATCAAGTTATGCCCATCAAGGTATGCCCATCAAGGTATGCCCTGCAAGGTATGCCCATCAAGGTATGCCCTGCAAGGTATGCCCATCAAGGTATGCCCATCAAGGTATGCCCATCAAGGTATGGGACTCCATGGAGCTTTCAAATACCATCTCTCTTGGGCTGGCTGAATCGCTCTGTCTCGTGCTCCCCTACCCACGCTGACTCGTACATCATTTCCTTCTCAACGTCCTCCCCTGTTCAACCCGTCGTTTTCATCTCCTCCAACCTTCCCCTCCCTTTTGAGTCACTCAAAAGCGTCGTTTTCATCTCCTCCAACCTTTCCCTCCCTCCTGCCTTCCAGGCGTGTTCAGACAAGCTCGCTCGGGAGATGGACACCTCGACTACCCGCCCAAGTGCCTCCTCTATTCAGGCCTGTACTTGATGCCCCTCATCACCCCCCCCTCCCCCCACCCTGCCAACCCCAGGCCTGCGCGGACAAGCTAGCTCGGGAGATGGACACCTACGGCTACCCGCCCAAGTTCCCCAGTGAGGAGGAGGCGGCCCTTGAGGCGCTGTCCATTGCGGAAGGCGCTGCAGCCGCTGCAGAGGGCGCAGAGGCCAAGGGGGAGGAGCAGAAGGCTCCCGGGCAGTTCAAGGGAAAGAAGGTGAGAGCCTTTGTGGGGATCTAGGGGAGGTGGGGGTGGTGGGGGGTGGTGGTGGGATGGGCATGGTGAGGAGAAGAGGAAGTAGCGGAGGAGATGTGGGGCTGGGGCCTTAGGAATGAGCAAGAACGCCAAGAACGATTTTGGTAGCTCACTGAGGATGGAGGTGTGGAATGGAGTTTCCGGTGTGGGCGGCATTGATTGGAAGCTCTGTGACTCTACTCAAACGCGCCTTTTCTTCTCAAAACCATTTCTTTCTTTTGTTGAGCATTTTCCCGCATCCCCCCTTGTCCTTCATTTCGTTCCCTCCGTCCTCCCTCTCCTCTACCCTCACACAACTTCCTCCTTTTCCCCTTTCGTTCCCTCCGTTCCCTCCGTCCTCCCTCTGCTTTTCCACTCTTCCTTACACGTGGGTGGCCGTGGCGCTTCACGCTTTCAGTCCAAGGCTGCTGCAAAGACAGGAACGGCCAAGTACCAGGTATGGGCTATGGTACCAGGTATGGGCTATGGTACCAGGTATGGGCTATGGTACCAGGTATGGGCTATGGTACCAGGTATGGGCTATGGTACCAGGTATGGGCTATGGTACCAGGTATGGGCTATGGTACCAGGTATGGGCTATGGTACCAGGTATGGGCTATGGTACCAGGTATGGGCTATGGTACCAGGTATGGGCTATGGTACCAGGTATGGGCTATGGTACCAGGTATGGGCTATGGTACCAGGTATGGGCTATGGTACCAGGTATGGGCTATGGTACCAGGTATGGGCTATGGTACCAGGTATGGGCTATGGTACCAGGTATGGGCTATGGTACCAGGTATGGGCTATGGTACCAGGTATGGGCTATGGTACCAGGTATGGGCTATGGTACCAGGTATGGGCTATGGTACCAGGTATGGGCTATGGTACCAGGTATGGGCTATGGTACCAGGTATGGGCTATGGTACCAGGTATGGGCTATGGTACCAGGTATGGGCTATGGTACCAGGTATGGGCTATGGTACCAGGTATGGGCTATGGTACCAGGTATGGGCTATGGTACCAGGTATGGGCTATGGTACCAGGTATGGGCTATGGTACCAGGTATGGGCTATGGTACCAGGTATGGGCTATGGTACCAGGTATGGGCTATGGTACCAGGTATGGGCTATGGTACCAGGTATGGGCTATGGTACCAGGCACAGGTCGGTACCAGGCTAATACGGGATATGATAAACGTGCCAGGTTGGTTCGTTCGTTCATTGTACCACACTGATAAACGTTCTGTAGCCACTTACCCTTTTGCTGGGTGTACCAGTTGTTTGTTCCTTTATAAGCTTCATTTGCGGCATGTTTGCATTCTCTCTTCTTCTTATTCGCTGTAGGGGGACATCATGCGATCCATGGGCATGATGGACGGGATATAAGGTTGGTTTTGAGACTTGAGACGTCTCAAAACCAACCTTATATCGCATGATGGACGGGGAGATCATGCCCTTCAGCCGTTGTCCCTCTCACGATCCGCCCTCTCCTTGCCTCTCCTTCCCCTCACACGCCACACTGCCACAGCCTGCAGGGAGACATCATGCGGTCCATGCGCATGACGGACGAGGACATCAAGCCCTTCAGGGACATCAATCCCTTCGGTTTTTCCCCCCCTCACGCTCCGCCCTCTCCTCCTTCCCCTCACACGCCACTCTGTCTCTGCCTGCAGTGGGACATCATGCGGTCCATGGGCATGACAGACGAGGAGATCAAGCCCTTCAGGGACCCCGCTCACTGGCTCACGTACTTCCCTCCCATCGCTGTGGTACGTAACACATACTATGTATGCTGTGCGCCCTCCTCTGAGCTGCTTCATTGCCAAAAGACGGCACATAGACTTCTGCTTCTTCTGTGTGCTGTTGTGTGCTAGCTATGTGCCACACATCCCTCTCTTTCTCCCCGTCTCTCCCATATCTTCCCTGATTCCTTGTGTAAAGCCCTTTGTTCCTCTATGTTAGCTCCCTTCTCCTCTCCCCAGCTTACCCCGTTTCACCCCCTTTCAGGTCGATCTGACGGAGTGGATTGGCGGAATCAAATCTTGAGAGCTTTCAAGCCACAAACCCCCTCGCCCCCCCTCCTCCCCATCTCTCAGGACGACCTCAAGGCGTTTGGGCTGCGCATGGCGTGGACTGGCGAGATTGAGTCTTGAGAGCTTTCTTCTTTCCCCCCCCCCGCCCCCCTATTTCTCCCTCCCCCTCACTCTTACTCTTTCCTCCCCCCCTTCCCCCCTTGAGCCCCTTCCATCTCCCCCTCCAGGACGACCTCAAGGCGTTTGGGCTGGGCGTGGACTGGCGGCGGTCCTTCATCACGACGGACATGAACCCGTACTACGACTCGTTCGCGCGTTGGCACCTGCAGACGCTCTACAACAAGGGCAAGGTACGACGCACATTCACTGCTGTGGCTTAGGGATGTGTTGAGAAGGCAAGTAGTGGTGCTGCTTCATCACAACAGACATGGACCCGTACTACGGCTCGTTCGCGCACAGACCCCCTGCGCCCCCCACTGCGGGCTGTCCCAGCCCCTCCCCCCCCCCCCCCCCCCCCGGCCTTTCCGCGCATACCCATTCGCCGCGCACGCCTTCGCCGGCTTTCCCCTCATACCTCCTTGGACGCACCTCTTTGGACGCACTTCCTTGGACGGGAGGTCAGTGCAAACCATGACACTGCTCCACTTCCCCCCCCTGCCCTCGGTCTCTCGCTCCCGGCCCCCTTCTTTCCCCCTACTACCAGGTGGTGAAGGACAGGCATCCATGTGCCAACCTTGACTCGCTCTTCACTCTCTCCCTCCTCCTACCCTCTCTCCCTCCCCTCTCCTGCCCCCTCCCCGCCCTACTCCCTGTTCGCTCCAGGTGGTGAAGGACAGGCGCTTCACCATCTTCTCGCCTCTGGACGGCCAGCCGTGTGCCCCAACTATGACAGGGCATCTTCTCCTCGTTCTCTACTCCCTTCCCCCTCACCTCGCGTCTCCCCAGGAGGTGAAGGACAGGCGCCACACCACCTTCTCGCCTCTGGATGGCCAGCCGTGTGCCGACCATGACAGGGCATGCCTCCCCCAGTCCCGCCCCCCTTCCCCCCTTTCCCCCATGTTCTCTATCTCACCTACTCCCCCCCGCTTCCAGGTGGTGAAGGGCAGGCGCTGCACCATCTTCTCGCCTCTGGACGGCCAGCCATGTGCCGACCATGACTCGACGTCCCTCCTCTCCCCCCCTTCCCCCCTTACCCTCTTCCCCCCTTCCCCTCTTCCCCCCTGCCCTTCCCCCTCTGTTTCCCAGGTGGTGAAGGACAGGCGCTACACCATCTTCTCGCCTCTGGACGGCCAGCCATGTGCCGATCATGACAGGGCGTCAGGAGAGGGCGTGCTGCCTCAGGAGTATACGCTGATCAAGATGCAAGTGGTGCCGCCACTCACAGGTGGGTACCTACCTGCTCACCGGTTTATGGTGAGCCTGACTGCAGTAGGGGGCTCTCATCCCAGGGGTCCTTGCCAGGCGGCCGGGGAGTGCGTGCTGCCTCATCAGGAGTACACGCTGATCAATATGCAAGTGGTGCCGCCGTTGATGTGCAACCAACTGAGCCACATGTATGAGATGAGGCCTTAGTAGTGTTCTCATTCAAACGGTTGACAGGGTGTCAGGGGAGGGCGTGTTACTCAGGAGTACACGCTCATCAAGATGTGGTGAAGCCGCTCACAGGTAGGTAGGTACCCAAGTGTGACAAGCGCTTTGTAGAGCCAGGGGACAAAAGAGGTACCTTGCCAGAGGTACCAGTGGGCGTGCTGCCTCAGGAGTACACGCTCAATGGTGCCGCCGCTCACATCTGCGTGTCCTTACCTAGAATTTAGAAATTATAGCAGATCTACAAGTCAAACGCATTTCGCAGGAGTACTCTTGTATGTTATAAGGGCCCTTTTTTTCCCCACCAGCCAATCATGGCCGCCCTTTTATCCCTCTTTATTCTGCCTCCCCTTCCCCTTCCTTGTATCCCCTGTTCCCCCTCCCATGTGCCCCCCAACCAATACCAGGCAAGCTTGAGGCACTTGCGGGCAGAAATGTCTTTCTTGCGGCTGCCACGCTGCGCCCAGAAACCATGTACGGGCAGACAAATGCTTGGGTGCTGCCCGACGGGCAGTACGGGGCGTTTGAAGTGAACGAAGGGGGAGACGTGTTTGTGGTAACTAAGCGATCGGCGCTGAACCTCTCCTACCAGTTCCTCTCCAAGGTAAAGGCTTCTCTCTTCATGGCTTGTTTTGAGGCATCTCGAAATATCTAAGAGAACAAGGGGGGAGACGTGTTTGTGGTACCTAAGAGATTGGTGCTGAGCCTCTCCTACCAGTTCCACTCCAAGATCAGCAAGCCACCGTCAAACCTGAGAAACCAGTCATTGGGGGCAAGTGCCTAAGCATCTCCACCTGCATGCATGTGTTTACCTGCATGTGTTTGCGTGCGTGTGTTTGCGTGCGTGTGTTTGCGTGCATGTGTTTGCGTGCATGTGTTTGCGTGCGTGTGTTTGCGTGCATGTGTTTGCGTGCGTGTGTTTGCGTGCATGTGTTTGCGTGCATGTGTTTGCGTGCATGTGTTTGCGTGCGTGTGTTTGCGTGCATGTGTTTGCGTGCGTGTGTTTGCGTGCGTGTGTTTGCGTGCGTGTGTTTGCGTGCATGTGTTTGCACGCATGTATTTGCGTGCATGTGTTTGCATGAATGTGTGTTTGCACGCATGTGTTTGCGTGAATGTGATTGTGTCTCGATGCGACTGTGTTCGATGTGTGCGCTATCTGACGGGGTGTTCAGAGTTTGCTTGAAATCCACCTCCCCTCCCTCTCCCCCCTTCCTTCACTCTTCTCTCTTCTCCCTTCTCTCTTCTCCCTGCTCTCTTCTCCCCAGGAGTTCGGCAAGACTCACTGCCTGCTGGAGCTGACGGGGATGACCTGATTGAGCGCCACCACCCCTTCCTCAAAACCCCCCCCCCCCCACCCATGCCGCCCTTCTCTCTCTTTACCTCTTTTTTTTTGGGGTTTTCTCCCCAGGAGTTCGGCAAGCCTCACTGCCTGCTGGAGCTGACGGGGCACGACCTGATTGGCCTGCCTCTCAAGGCGCCCCTCACCCCCAACCCGGTCATCTACGCCCTCCCCATGCTCACCATCCTCACGGATAAAGGTGCTTTTGTTGACAATTTTGCAAGGACCCCCTCACAGCCTCACAGTCCTTACGAAAGAACGCTCCCTGGATTCTCACATCCTTAGCCCCTGACAGTGGCTTGTGTCGTTTCCACACTTTCACCTTCAGTTTTTTTTTCCTCTAAACCTTCAAACCCGATCATGCAGGTACGGGAGTGGTGACAAGTGTGCCCAGCGATGCACCAGACGACTACATGGCACTGCAAGACCTCAAGAGCAAGCCAGGTGAGACACGCACAACTATCCCCACATGAGGTATGGTTGTGCAAGGTATGGTTGGAGACAACAATGAGTGTGCCCAGCGATGCACCGGACGACTACATCGCACTGCAGGACCTCAAGAGCAAGCCAGGTGAGAACCCCCCCGCCCCTTCCCCCACCGCCACCCCCTCCCCCCTCTACCCCACACACATGCACACACACTCACCCTTATGCATTCCTTCCTTCACACTTCCATCCCTCCACTCCCCCCCCTGCCCGCTCCCCCTCCCCTTTCACTCGTTCAGCCCTGCGAGCCAAGTTCAACGTGAAGGACGAGTAGGTGCTGCCCTTTGAGGTAATCCCCATGTGGAGTTGCGCCCCTCTGAGCTGGGCTTTCCCTCCCTCTCATCCTCCCCCTCCCCCCCCCCTCCTCTATCCCCTTTTGCCTCTCCAGCCTTGCGAGCCAAGTTCAACGTGAAGGACGAGTGGGTGCTGCCCTTTGAGGTCATCCCCATTATAAACATCCCCGAGTTTGGCGATGCGGCGGCAGTGAAAGTATGCCAGGACCTCAAGATCCAGAGCCAGAACGACAAGGAGAAGCTGGCCGAGGCTAAGAGACTCACTTACCTCAAGGTAAGTGCATGGCTAAGAGACTTCCTTCTCAGAATTTGAGACGCACGCTCCCCCACGTTCACGTCTTGGCTTGAGACTTCATTCTTCTTACTCGGGTCAGTCTGAGTTAGAAAGGCACACCGATCTCAAGGTATCATCCCAAGCTTCCTCCGTCTCATGCTTCCCCACATTGTTCAACACAAAGCACAATCGTTCTCCTTCCCATTCGGTCTTTCCCTTCTCCCCATTCCTGCAGGGATTCACGGATGGAGTGATGCTGGTGGGCGAGCTGAAGGGCACCAAAGTGCAGGACGCCAAGCCACAGATCAAGAAGGTGCGGTGATGGTATGGTAGAGGCTACGGACGCGGGATAAAGCTACGGATCAGGAAGGGGGGGGGGGAGGTGGTAGAACAGAAGCTGTGTGGGTTATGCAGGCTGTGTCTGCGATAGATCTCCACTGCTCCCCCTTCTGTTCCGCCCTCCTCCTTCCCCCAGCTGCTGGTGGAGCGAGGGGAGGCAGTGCCGAACAGTGAACCGGACAGGAGAGTTACTTCCTGGTCGGGAGACAAATGCGTCGTAGCGCTGACAGACCAGTGGTACCTCACCTATGGGTGATACCTCTTTCTCCTCCCCTTTCCTTCCCTTGCTCGCCATTCTCTCCTTCAATTCCTGTTGCCTGCAGTTCCTGGTGGAGTTCCAATTCCTGTTGCCTGCAGTTGCTGGTGGAGTGAGGGAAGGCAGTCCCCTACAGCGAACCGGAGAAGCGAGTGACATCTCGATCCGGAGACGAGTGCATGGTGGCGCTGACGGACCAGTGGTACCTCACCTACGGCGAGACAGAGTGGCGCGCACAGGCTAAAAGGTGTCAACCACCCCCCCTCCCCCTCCACCCTACCCATTGTCCTCTCAGTTGCTAGTGGAGCGAGGGGAGGCAGTCCCCTACAGCGAACCAGAGAAGAGAGTTACCTCTCGTTCCGGGGACGAGTGCGTCGTAGCACTGACGGACCAGTGGTACCTCACCTACGGCGAGACAGAGTGGCGTGCGCTTGCAGAGGAGTGCTTGGCGGGCATGCAGCTGTACAATGAGGAGACGCGGCACGGGTTCCAGCACACGCTGGGATGGCTGGATAGGGTGAGAGAAGGGGGGCGATAGGGGTGGGCGGATAGAAAGGGAGGGAATGGGGGAAGGGGAAACCGGTTGGCCATGGGAGAGTAGAGAGTGCAGGCAGAGGAGTGCCTGGCGGGCATGCAGCTGACGATGAGGAGATGAGGCAGGGGTTCCAGCACACACTGGGATGGCTGGATAAGGTGAGAGGAAGGCGAATGTTGGTAGGGTGAGGCAGGGGGATGGAGAACAGAGTGGATTGCTTGGCGGGCATGGAGCTGTACAACAAGGAGACGAGGCATGGGTTCCAACGCACGCCAGGATGGCTGGATAGGGTGAGGGGAAGGGGGATTGAGAGGTAGAAATGTTGGGGGAATTGAGAGGGACGGACAGGTGGATTTGGGGGAGCTTGCTGAGGAGTGGGGGGAATGCAGCTGATGATGAGGAGGCGAGGCACGGGCTCCAGTACACTCTGGCTGGGATGGTTGGATAGGGTGAGTGGGGGGGGGGAATGGGGAGGTAGAAGAAAGGTCGGTGGGATTGAGAGGGGGAGGTGAAAGAGGTAGGGGGTATCGAGGGGGAGAGGTGGGTTGGCTGTCAGGCCAGGCAGGCAGAGAGGTGTTTGGCTGGCATGCAGTGGTGTAGTGACGAGGCAAGGCCGATTTCGGCTATACTCATCCTGGGGCAGCCTTGATACACCTCTTGAGGCACCCAAAAAGCCATGGCGCCCTGAGTGCATCCCCACTCTTACCCCCCCCTCGTACCAAAAAGCCATGGCGCCCGGAATGCATCTCCACTCTTACCCTGCCTTTCTCCCCCCTTCCCCCGCCCTCCCCTGGACAGTAGACGTGCTCGTGCTCGTTTTCCCTGGGAACAAGCATCCCCTGGGACCCTCAGTTCCTCATCCCTGCTCCTTCTCCCCTGGGATAGAGAGAAGAGTCCCCACTCTCGCTACTCTTCTCTCTATCTCCCCCCCCCCCCACCCCCCCCCCCAACTTCCAGTGGGCGTGCTTGTGCTCATTTGGCCCGGGGTCGCGCATCCCCTGTGAACCCTGGTTCCTCATCCCCCCTTCCCCCCTTCCCTCTCCCCACTCTTCCCTAAATCCCTATCCCCTCGCTCCCAGTGGGCGTGCTCGCGGTCCTTTGGCCTGGGCACGCGCATCCCCTGGGACCCGCAGTTCCTCATTGAGTCTCTCTCCGACAGCACTGTCTACATGTCCTACTACACACTGGCGCACATCCTTCAGGTGAGTTGAGTGAACCTGATGAGCACGTCGCACATTTCAGTCTCTTCACGTGAGCTGCGTCCACCCATGTAGTTCCGTCTCTCTCCCACAGCACCGTCTACATGGCGCACCACACTCTGGCACACATTGAGCCAGAGAGAGCATGTGCAGGTGAGGTGAGCATTAGCAGCACAGAGCATCTGCTGCGTGTACCCACTTTGTTCCTCATCGAGTGTCTCTCTGACAGCACCGTCTACAGGGCATACGACACTCTGACCCTCAACCTTTGGGTATAATGATTTTAGATGTCCTGTCAGTCACTTCATACCTACCGTCGATCGATCTACCCCGGTGCCCCCCCCCCTCCCCTTTCCTCCCCCTTCTTTTCCTTGGTTACTAATGTCACTGCACCTCATACATCCTTTTTCATTGCAAACGCTAATCGTGTACCACACTTGCAGGAGGGAGACATATTTGACACGTCGGGTTGGGCAAGCAGCCCATTCACCCCAACCACCTCACCCTCACTCACCTCACTCCTCCTCCTCGTTCTCTCACACTCTCCCTTGCTCTATCTCTCGCTACCATCCCTCACATCACACAGGAGGGGAGGGCAACATCTTTGGCACCTCGGGCAAGCAGAGCATTCATCCCGACCCGCTCACCCGCAACCCCCCCGTTCTCTTACACCCTCCCACACTCTCTCTCTCTCACTCTCACCCCTCTCATCACAACAGGAGGGCGACATCTTTGGCACGTCGGGCAAGCAGAGCATCAAACCCGACCAGCTCTCCCACGCCCTCTGGGACCATCTGCTGCTGGGCGCACCCAAGCCGGCAGACTGCCCGGTTCCCGATGATCTGCTGCAGGTGAGGGAGGTGTTACTTGGGGCAGGTTGGGCCTGGTGCAGCTGGGTGTGCCTCTGGGACCATCTGCTGCTGGGGGCACCCAAGCCGGCAGACTGCCCTGTCCCTGACGACCTGCTGCAGGTATAGAAGGAGAATTACCTGGTGAGACAAGAATGTTTTCTGGTGCAGGTTAAGCCTGGTGCAGGTTATTGCATCGGGCAGGTGTTATCTGGGACCACCTGCTGTGAGGTAGGCAAGCAGAGCATTCATCCCGGCCAGCTCTCCCACGCCATCTGGGACCATCTGCTGCTGGGCGCACCCAAGCCGGCAGACTGCCCTGTTCCCAATGACCTGCTGCAGGTGTGAGGCAGATGAGGCGGTGCCGGTGAGGCTGGTGCTGCAGGTGGTATCTCTGTTTTCTGGTCAGGTTTCAAATGCTACAGGTCATCTGTAGAGCCTGTTGCCCTCTGGGACCATCTGCCGCTGGGCACACCCAAGACTGCCCCGTTCCTGACAGCCTGCTGCAGGTGAGGCGGTGGAGTGAGGTGGTGCAGGGTGTGGGGTGGTGCAGGTCTTGATACATTGCTTGGTGAATTGCCATGTGCACTGAGTGGTGCACCATACATATGACATACATGTCTTCCCCACCATCCTCCCTCCACCCTCTTCCTTACTCCCCTTCTCCACCCTTTAATATTGGTATTCAACTCATTCGACAAACTCCCCATTCCTCTCCCAAAACCCGAAACCCTGCACAGCGTGCGCGGCAGGAGTTTGATTACCGGTAACCGTTCGACCTGCGGGTGTCAGGAAAGGACCAGAGTAGTGGTGGTACCCGTTTGACTCCTTTTCCTTTCCCTTCTCTTAAACCCTGAACCCCTCGCAGCATGCGCGGCAGGAGTTTGAGTACTGGTACCCTTTCGACCTGCGGGTGTCAGGAAAGGATCTGATCAACAACCATCTCACCTTCGCCATCTACAATCACACTGCCATGTTCGACAAGGTTCGTTATAAGCACCCCAGTATTAGCACTTCGTTATAAGCACCCTGATGCTCAATGCGTGCGCTGGGTCTGCACTTGATCTCGCGCGCATCACACTTCCATACCTCCCTTATCCTCCCTTATCATCCCTTACTTCCTCTCCGCTCTTTCCCCTCGCCCCACGCTCCAATGCGATCTGCCAACACCAGCGCCTGTCTGCTCCTGTCCCTCCCTCCTTCTAACCCTCTCTTCCCCCCTGCCCCTCACTCTCGTACAACAGGACAAGTGGCCGAGGGGCTTCCGCACCAACGGGCATCTGCTGCTCAACTCGGAGAAGATGTCCAAATCCACTGGCAACTTCAAGACCATCCGCCAGGCCATAGGTGCGTTCTCACGTGCTCTTTCCTTGCTCGGTAGATCGATTGGTTATCAGGGCGCGGTTGTTCTCTCTCCCTCTCATTGCCCCCCCACCCCACCCCAACCCCCTATTGCTACCTATGTCTCTCTCCCCCTGAGTAGTTTTTGTCGGACGCCACTCCCTTCGCCGTGGCTGATGCGGGCAACGCCACCTAAATACAAGTCACTCACTGTCTGTGCTGCCACCCTCTCATTGCCCCCCCAACCCACACCCCACCCCTCTATTGCTACCTCTCTCTCCCTCCGGAGTTCTCGTCGGACGCCACCCGTTTTGCCCTGTCCGATGCTGGCAATGCCACCTAGATGCGACACCCCACCCCACCCCCCTGTTGCTACCTCTCCCTCCCTCCCCCAGAGGAGTTCTCATCGGACGCCACTCGCTTTGCCCTGGCTGATGCGGGCGACACCGTGGACGACGCCAACTTCGTGGAGGAGACTGCCAACGCGGCCATCCTCAGGCTCACCAAGTGAGCACTGTTAGACTAGTTCATGTTTCACTGTGTGGGCTAGCAGGCTGTGTTGCAGTGAGTGGGTGTGTAGGGTGCGGCCGACACGGTGGACGATGCCATCTTCGTGGAGGAGACTGCCAACGCGGCCATCCTGCACCTCACTAAGTGAGTGAGGGGGCTGCTTGTCTTGCACTGTCTGCCATGGGCATAGTAAGTCTTGTGCATGTTGCACTGTTTGTGAAGGGGCTGGCAAGGCGCTGATGCAGCGCGGCCGACACGGTGGATGATGCCAGGCTCTTGGAGGAGACAGCTAATGCGGCCATCCTCAGGCTCGCATTGTAAGGGCAGGCTGTGCTGCTTGACTTGCACTGTGTGGTATGCTGTGGGCATAGTTTTTCGTGGGCAGTCCTCACTGGGTGGGGGCTGGCAGGGTGCTGCTGATAGGCGCCACACGGTGGGTAGATGATGCCAACTTTGTGGAGGAAACTGTCACTGCGGCCATCCTGTGGCTCACCATGTAAGAGGCTTGCTGGATGGCAGTTGCCATTTTTGAATAAAACTGAAGCATGAAGTCCCAGAGCTGCCGTGTTGTGGAAGGAACAGGTGCTGGAGCTCCAGATTATGTTGGAAAAGTCTCTCCCTAGAATCCAATCTCCATGACAGTTTCTTCTTATACCTCCTCCCGTGCCCTTTCCCCTTGAACCCCCAGGGAGATGACGTGGATGGAGGAGGTGCTGGCGTCAGCAGCCACAGAGGGAGGGCTTCGGAGCGGAGAGGAGCGGTCGTTTGCCGACCGGGTGTTTGAGAACGAGATCAACCTGGCTGTGGCTCTCTCCAAGGCGGCCTATGACAGCATGCTGTTCCGAGAGGCGCTTAAAACGGGGTTCTTTGACCTCCAGGTACTCAACCTAGGGTCGTCCTCATGCACACATCCACATCCTTACGGTCACTCTCTCCAAGGCTGCCTATGACAGCATGTTGTTCCGAGAGGCGCTGAAGACGGTATGCATTGGGGCCATACAGGTGGGGGGCGGTGATGGGTGGTGGTGGGTGCTGACGGGCGGTGGCGGTCACCTCATGTCCCCCGTCACCTCATGTCCCCCGTCACCTCATGTCCCCCGTCGCCTCATATCCCGTTTGCTGCATCATTTTCCCCTCTTCGTTGTCCCAGCTCGCTCGCCACGACTACCACCTGTCATGCGGTTGGCAGGCTTGAACTTGCAGGGTGTTTTTGAGAATTCTCAAAAACACCCTGCAAAATCAAGGTCCTGCTGCTGCTTCAGCTGCACCCGCCCTTCCTTTCCTCGTGTCTCCCACTTCGTTTCCCCACCTTATGACTTTGTCCTCCCAGCTCGCTCGGGACGAGTACCACCTGTCGTGCAGAGCAGCCGGCATGCACAAGGACCTGCTGTTGTCTGCATGGTGCTAGTTTCACACTCTCATTCTCCCCCATTGTTCCCCCTCGTTGTCCCTCTGTCCTCCCAGCTCGCTCGTGACGAGTTCCGTGTGGGGCAGCTGGCGTGCACAAGGACCTTCTGCTGCTTCACTTGCACTCGCTCTACATTAACCCATATCTCCCCCTTTGTTTCCCCCTCGTTCTCCCTCCGCCCTCCCAGCTCGCTCGTGACGAGTACCGCCTGTCGTGCGGGGCAGCGGGCATGCACAAGGATCTGCTGCTGCGGTTCTGCAAAGTGCAGACGCTGCTGCTCATGCCGGTGAGATGGCGATGCTGGTGACAGTGATGGTGATGCGATGATGATGCGGATGCCAATGTTGATGGAGATGGGAATGGTGATGATGATGGTGTTGTTGTCGTGATGCTAAAGTGATGGTGACGGTGATGTGGTGTTGATGGTGATGATATGATTCGGATTGTGAAGGCAGAGGTGGTGGATTGACAGCTCTTTCAACCCATCCTCCCTGTGGCATCAACGGCTGCTGACAGATCAACCCTCAACGTTTGGAACGTCTGTGTATCCAACCTTCCAAAACACCACCACCCTTCCCACCCCTCCCAACCCCCTGCTCCCAGATCTGCCCTCACTATGGTGAGCACGTGTGGAGAAACATTTTGAAGCTGCCCGGAGCAGGCATCACGGCTGGATGGCCGGAAGCAGCGCCTGCTGACATGACGCTCAAGGCTGCCAACACATACCTACAGGTATGTTCATGTGAACGGATGGATGTGTGCAGGCATGCATGCATCACATGTGTGCATGTGCCCATAGCATGGCCTCAAAAGGCAGTAGAAGCAGCGAATGCTGACAGGAAGATAAATGCTGCCACCGTTCCTCCTCCACCAACCCTTCCCATTGCCTGGGCCCGCTGCCAGAGCCCGCTGTCAGAGCCCGCTGCCACAGCCCGCTGCCAGAGCCCCCTGACAGGGCCCCCTGACAGGGCCCGCTGCCAGGGCCTGCTGCCAGGGCCCGCTGCTAGAGCCCACTAGCAGCAGGTTTGCTCAATGCGATTGAGCTTCCATCCACCTCACCCATCTCCTCTCTTCTCTTCCTTCCCTTCCCCCTCCTCCCGTCGCCCCAGGACTGCACTGCTGACTTCCGCAAGCTCATCACAAGTTGTCCTCCCTCCTTTCCTTAGCACTCTCCCAACTCCCCCCCTCCGCACACCCCTGCCACCCCGTCAGGACTGCATTGTTGACTTCCGCAAACTCATCACCAAGCAGCAGGCGTCAGCAGGAGGGGGTGGAAAGGCCAAGGGCGGGAAAGCAGCACCCGCAGCAGCAGCAAGCAAGGAGGCGCCGAGGATAGCGGTGGGGCGGGTGTTTGTGGCTGAGAAGTACGGCGGGTGGCAGGAGGACTGCCTGAGGCTGCTGCAGCAGCACTTTGACGCAGAGAAGAAGGCGTTTGCGGAGGGTGCTGACATCATGGGCGAGCTGAAAGCCAGCCCCGTCGGACAGGTGAGCAGAGGAACTTGCTGGCGGGGAGTTGGGGGTGAGAGGGAAGTAGTCGACGTCATTGTATGTGTGGCACCACCTCTCACAGTCTTTGCTCGCCTGGCACAAGCAGAGGCCATCCTTCAAGACGATGGGGCAGTCTGTGTATCTCTGTACGCATGGGGTCCATGGTGCTGCTCTTATGATTACCCCGTCTCTGTACTCATTCCGTCCTTGTGTCCCTCCCTCCTTCCCCTGCGTGGCATTCACCACCGCTGCATGTGCATCACCATCAGAGGCCCGACTTCAAGAAGCTCATGGGGCAGTGCATGGGGTTCATCCGTTTCAAAAAGGATGCGGCTCTCGTGCACGGGGCTCAGGTGAGACGCAGTGAAACCTTAACACCTGAATACTCCAACTCGCAAAAACCTGGATACACTAAACCTGTTCAACCGCCTGGCCCCTGGGTCTCACCCCCCTGGGTCTCACTTCCCTGGGTCTCCTGGGTCTCCCCCCACCTCCCCCCCCCCCCCCCCGGTCTCACCCCCCTGGGCCTCACTCGGGTCTCACCCCCCTGGGACTCCCCTCGTCCCGGCCACACCACCCTCTCTCTCCCGTCATCCCCACCATGCCAGGCTCTGGACGTGAAGCTGCAGTCTGGTGAAGCAAACGTGCTGCGCTGCTCACACTCTCCCTACTCTCCATCTTCTCTGTCTCCCCCTCAACTGCTCGTCCCCCCCACCTCGTCCCGAACACGCTGTATGCCCACCACGCCTCACCTTTCTTTCCCCCACCCCCCTCTTCCCCCCCCCCCCCCCCTCCCTCTTCGTCTCCAGGCCCTGGACGTGAAGCTGCAGTTCGACGAGGCAAACGTGTTGCGAGAAAATGCTGACCTCATCAAGGTGAGCTATGATGGGGTCATGCTGACGTCACCCATGGATTCTTGATGCAGTGCTTATTTTTAGTGATGAGAGGTGTGCTGTGCTGCCCTTTTGCTGTTGATGGGAGGCTTGTTGTGTGCTGCATTCATCCCGTTGGCTGGGAGAAAGTGATGAGATATGATGGGGCGATGCTGACGTCACCCATCAATCCTTGATGCCATGCTAGTGCTTATTGTTAGTGGTGAGAGGTGTGCCGTGCTGCCCTCAGCACTTCATGGGAGACTTGTTGTGCGATGGATTCCCTTGGCTGGGAGATTAATTTCTTTTTCTTCTTTGTGCGATCAAGTGTGTGTGTTGTGTTGGTGTCAGATATTCAAACGAGGTTGTTTTATCCCTGCAGTTCCGCATTTACTGCCGCCACGCCACGTGTCACATTGTGCACAGCAGCTTTTTTGCTGTTGGATGCGTAGCCACTCCCCACCAAGACTTTTCCGCACTTGACTTCACGCTGCTCTGGTTGCATCACAACACCGTTACTTCCAGCTTGAGGAACTACCAGCGCCCTTCATTGCGTGCTCCATCACCCCCTGTGTTTGCCTTCCTTTTCTCCTTCTTATTTGGCTCGCCTCATGCTGCCCTGGTTGGCACCCAACAGCGCCAGCTGCAGCTGGAGGAGTTCCCAGTGTTCCTCACAGCACGTGCACTAGGCCAATCACAATCTCTCTCTCTGCATTACTGCATTCTGTGCCTTGCCCGCCCTGCATCGTGCCACCTAACCCAACAGCGCCAGCTGCAGCTGGAGGAATTCTCAGTGTTCCTCACTTTGGACGTCGCACCACTTTCCCCCATGCCCCTTCGCTTTCCCCCATGCCCCTTCGCTTTCCCCCATGCCCCTTCGCTTTCCCCCATGCCCCTTCGCTTTCCCCCATGCCCCTTCGCTTTCCCCCATGCCCCCTTCGCTTTCCCCCATGCTCCTTCGCTTTCCCCCATGCCCCTTCGCTTTCCCCCATGCCCCTTCGCTTTCTCCCATGCCCCTTCGCTTTCCCCCATGCCCCTTCGCTTTCCCCCATGCCCCTTCGCTTTCCCCCATGCCCCTTCGCTTTCCTTATCGTTGTCTCACTATCCTTTGCATGTCTGATCACACTATCCCGCTGCACCCCAACAGCGCCAGCTGCAGCTGGAGGAGTTCTCAGTGTTCCTCACTTCGGACTCTGAGGCTGTTGCTGCCGTCAATCCCAAGGACGCCTCGCGCATCGCTGCTGCTGTGCCAGGTGGGTTCCACGTGTGTGGTTTGAGGCAAAGAATCTCTGTGCGTCAGTGTGCGGCAGTGTGTGCCCCTGTGTGAGCGTGTGTGATGCGTGTTGTGTGGAGGGAATCTCATGCACATCTTGTCGGCTGTTTTAAATACGAATATACTGTAACAGTTCCACCTGCATGTTGGAAGAAAGAGATCAAGTTTTTTGTTTATCCTGTGTGCCCTTCCCCACTATTGCTGTCTTGTTCAGGCTCCCCTGTCGCAATCTTCTCAGCAGCATCATAGACATCATCACAACACTATTGGTGCCTTTGAGCATGTGAGCAATTTTTGTAGGGTTGAAACAAGGCATTCCTTGGAATGCTTTTTAGAAATTCATGTAATAGGCGACGTGGCCTATGCAGAGTATGCCTACCCAGTGCTTTGGGTACTAGATCCTCTTTGTACTGATGTGCTTACCAGACCTCCCTCTCTTGCTCCACATCTCGAGAACATATTTGCCAGTTAGCCGAGCTTAATGGACTGTACATGTGCACAGATACCGGGGTTCGTACAAACGCGAATAGTGGATGTCCATGCTGTCATGTGCACATCAATCTAGTTGCGCCACGGAATCGCTCTCAAATCCTCCTCTCTGGAAACTCCGCGTGGCAGTCTGACCCACATCATTCGTCAGAATGGGCTCATCCCAGCATGGCACCTCCGAGCCGCTCCACGTATACTAAGTTTTCCACAGTCGTCAGCTCTTCAAGGCGAGATGTGTTGGGGAGGCCAAATTCTACCCAGAATCCGAGATGGATAAATTACTTTCTGCCTAGCTCTGTTTAGCTTTGATCAGCTTTGCTCATTCTGATAACATCATTAGTTCTCTTTATATCAGCACGGAAGGAAAATAAGGACTTTTCCCAATTACTCGCCCATACGGCCTCTCCTGATTTAGTGTCCCGCAATGGAAGGCGATAATTCCGCCGCGACTACCGCCGCGCCTCCCCCAGCGGCGGAAGCCGCCAGCCATGCGGTTGCGGAGGGGCAGGTTGCTCCCGCCAGCGGTACCAGCGCGGATGCAAGCGGTGCGAGCGCGGATGCCGGCGCCCACGACACGTCGCCGCCTGGCGGACGGGGGGGCAACCGGCGGAGACAGCCGCGGGGGGGCAGAGGGCGCGGAAGGGGCGGAGCGGGCGGGGAAGGCGGAAGGGGCGACGGTCCCAGCCATTCCGTCGGAAATGCCGACAGCAGTGGCGGAAACGGCGGCGGCGGAGGCGGGTGCGGAGATATGGGGGAAGGCAGCGTGGCGGGGCACGGCGGCGGCGGGGGGGGCGCGCAGGTGGCGCAGTGCTCGTGCGTGTCGTTTTCCCCCGAGATGCAGCGCGCGTTCTTCGAGCTGCACGCGCTGCGTCTAGGCACGGACAAGGCGACCTACGGGGACACGCTCGAGTGGCTGCTGACCGCCGCGAAACCCGCTATCGAGCAGCTTAAAACGGGGACGGGGGGAGCGGCGGGGGGAGGGGGGGCTCATTCCGGCGGCAGCGGTAAGAAGAGGAACAAACGCAACCGGCGGAAGCAAGGGCAGGCGGGGGCTCGGGGAGGGGCGGAGGGAGGGGGAGTGGGAGGGGCAGCGGGAGGAGTGGGAGGGGGAGAAGGAGGGGGAGTAGGAGGAGGAGAGGGGGGGGGAGGGGGAGGAGGAGTGGGAGGAGGAGAGGGAGGAGGAGAGGGAGTATAGCAAGGAGACGTGGAAGGGCAGTAGCAGTGTGGCGCAGCTGTTTGTGTGACAGCAGTGCAAGTAGGTGGAGGAGGCATGTGCGGGTGTGGGCGTGTGGGTGTGTGGACTCGTGAATCCGTAACAGCGAAAGGAACGGAGTAGATAGGGATGCCACAAGGCTCTGATGGTAATGGGTCAAGGAGCAACACAGGAGCGAACCTCCTCGGGTTGTAGTGGGTTGGTTGGAAGCAATGGCTTCGTTTCATAGAGCAGAAGAAAGTATGCTGCTGGGGCAGGTGCTGTGTGTTGCTCGTGGGATCATTCAGCCTTGTTTCTTACAACTGAGTTATGGAGATTCTTGCTATTCCTGCTATTGGGTGTGATTTGATTTGCTGCAGATGACAAGCAGGCAGGCACTGCACTGCAGTATGACAAGCCCTAGTGTACATCAAGAAGCATAACCCTTACAGCGGGTGCCAAGATGTGAATGTACCCATAAGATCAGTGTCATTCACTTCACTGCATTCAGTGCCACCACTGCTGCAAGCCTATTGGGGTAACACGGCAATTGAAAGGGGTGAAAGGGGTGATTGGCTTGGCAGTCAGGCAGGCAAGCATCACAACGCACATCACTGCACCAAGAGCTTCACACCCGGCAGCACGCTCCCTTGCTTCACATCACAGCCCTGTGACTCGCCACGCCAGCCTTGCCATCGCCACCCCCCTTACCACAGCCATCACAGCTGCCAGCCAATGAACTGGGCAGTGGGCACACCACAGTTATGACTCATGAGTGCGCCAATCGCATCACTGCACCAGGTGTGCTTCACACCAGGCAGCACACTCCCCTGCTTGACCACCCCGTGGCTCACTGTTTTCGCCACTCCCCTCACCACAGCTATCACGGCCCCGTCCTCCCACTCCCTCCCCTCCCCCCCCCCCCCCCTCTCTTCGCCATCACTGCTGCAGACCCATCAGTGCTCGCACCAACACCATCACTGCACCAGGTGCTTCACACCCGGCAGCACACTCCCCTGCTTAATCGCCCCATGGCTCACCGGCTTAGCCACCCCCCGCACTGTCATCACAGCCCCCTCCTCCCCATCCCCTCCCCCCCTGCCCACCCGCCAGCTCCTATCCTTGCTCCTCGCCTGCTTCTTCTGCCTCTTGTGCTCCGCCTTTGGCGCCCGCTGCTGCCTACCGCCCCCTCCCACTGCCAACCCTGCACCAGCAGCAGCAGCGCCAGTGCCCGTGCCCCCACTTACCTCATCCTCGTTATAGTCAACCTCGCTGGAAGGATCACCACCAGTGGCAGCAGCGGCAGCCTGTTGAGCCTGATCCAGAGCCATGCTACTGAAGTGCTCCAAGTCAAGGGCGTCCAGAACCAGCATCTCCCCTTCCTCCCCCTCTTCTCCTCCTCCCCCTCTTCCTGCTGCTGCGCCCAACCAGAATCCCTCTTTCAAGTTTGTTGAAGTGCCCGGGGGCAGCTCAAAATGCGGCAGCTTGCCACTCAAGTAGTCCTTTAAGATAATTCGGGCTGCCCGGGTTTCGTCGGGCAGCCCAGACGAAACCACGTGCCCTCGGGACCGGGCATAGGCTTTAAGAAGCTCGGCTGCCAACGGGGGCCTGTCGGGCCTTTCATGGGCAGCTGGAGACGGCAAGGTCAGCCCGTAAATCTTTTCAAGGGCTGCCCGCGGAACTTTTTGGGCAACCACTTCCACTGGCCCCCTCTGGTCCGTAATTCGATCAACGGGCAGCACGCCAGCAGCAACCATTTCTGACCGCTCAGAGGCAAAAGAGGGGAAAACCAGCCCCGGGCAGTCGCAGAGCATTAGCGATTCCGACACGGGCAGCGTCTGGAAATGTTTTGTCTTGCCCGGAGTGGAGGTGACACCGGTTCGTTTAGACCCAACGAGGGCGTTGATGGTTGAGCTCTTACCCACGTTGGGGTAACCAACGAATCCAACCACCACCCTCTCCTTCGGCCCCTCCTTCTCCCCTCCCTTCTTTCCTTCCTTCTGACCTTCCCTTCTCCCTGCCACTGCCCCTGCTGCAGCAGCAGGAGCGGCAGCAGTAGCAGCAGCAGCAGCAGCAATGGCAGTGGCTTTAGCTTCCAGCAGCCGAAGCAGGCTGTCTTTCCCATGGATCTTCACATCCCCTTTCGTCACCCTCACTGCAACCTGCTCACTTCCTTTTTGCCCCTCCTCAGTGGCCTCCACGTCCTCTGGACTCACACCTCCCTCCTCCTCCCCTGCTTCCTCACCCTGCTCCTCCTCCTCCTCCCCTTCCTCCGCCTCCTCCCACTCACCCTCACTCTCATCCTCCTCATCATCCTCCTCCTCCTCTCCTTCCTCCTCCTCCTCTCCTTCCTCCTCCTCCTCTCCATCCTCCTCCTCCTCTCCATCCTCCTCCTCCTCTCCATCCTCCCCCTCCTCCCCCTCATCCACCCCCTCAGCCGCAGCCTTGGCGGACCAGAAGGCAAACTCCACCCCGCGGCCCTTGAGGTACCGCGCCCACATCTTACGCACAGCAGCGGGCAGCAGGTCAGCCTTATTCAGCAGCAGCAGGGAGCGGTTGCCGGCACTGGGATCCTGGAGAGTGGTTAATTCCTTGCTGGTGCTGGGGTCCGAGTGATTGCCTTTGCCGGCCAGCTCTTGAACGTAGGCTTCGAGGTCGGGGCAGCGGTAGAAGAGAGGGTTACGGCTGTCCACCACGGTTACCACCTGGATAGAGGGGCAATAAAGAAGGAGATTCCTAGGCGTTACAACTCACGACCTGTTCAAGGTCGCTTGGCAGCTGTAGACGAGAGGGTTACGGCTGTCCACCACAGTTACCACTAGATAGAGGGTATATAGAAAGGATGCTAAAACTAAAAAGAATTCCAGGTTCTCGTAATGTCTTTAGACTACAAGCGGCATGAGATTCACAACGCAGCACAGCTGGTAACCAGGTAACCACTCATCAGGTGTCAACTGGTAACCAGGTGACTCACCAGGTGGCTTCTCTCCAGCACGCGCCAGAGCTGTCGCCAGATGTCCAGATTCTTCTCAAATGGGGTTACCACCAGATGGTTGTTCTCCTCCACCCTGCAAGCACAGCAGATTCAGGCACAATGCAAGCTCCCCTTGGTGCCTCAGAAATTGTCTTCTCGAATGGGGTTACCACCAGATGGTTGTTCTCCCTCCACCCTGCAAGCAATGCAGGCAAGCTCCCTTTGGTGAATGAACGTTATACTCACACGCACTATGTGCAACATAGTCACATGCAATGCAATGTAGTCACATGCAATGTGATTGCATGCATGATAAGGCCACCATGCGTCGTATTGACACGTGCATACCACCAACCCTCTCCTCTTCTCCAATCCCTCCTCTCCCTTCCGACACACACACATGCATACTCACAATCACACACCCATTCACACACACGCCCACTCACACACACGCACACTCACACTCACACACACACACACACACACGCACACACACACACACACACGCGCGCACGCATGCACACTCTCGCTCGCTCTCTCTCTCACACACCCACTCACGCGGACAGCGATCGCCTCCATTCCAGGAAAGCAGCCTTTTCACTGGCATCCAGCTCTGCTGACGTCATGCTGGCGCTCCACTGGGGCCTGGGGGAGGGGGGACGGGCGGTTAGGGGGGGGGGATGGGTGTGTGGGGGCGCAGAGGGGGAAAATTGGACACCCAATTGGATAACTTCATTCCATAAACACTGGGGACAGGTCTTTGTCTCGCATAGAACGACGAAGAAAATCACGGCTCAACAGCATGGTATTGGGTGTAGGGGGGGGGTCATCCACCACTTGGGTAAGCACCTTGGTGAAGCTCCCTTCCGCTTTCCCCCTCCCCTCCCCTACCAAGGCCCTCTCCTCCTCGTTGCCCCTTCCCCTCGCTTGGCTCTTCTCTCTCACCTCCTTGGGATGGTCAGAAGCTTCCGGTGAAGTTCCTCCTGCTCCTTGCGCTCGCTGCTGCTACTGCCGCCTCTCCCGCCCAGCGCGCCAACATCGTGACTGCGAGGGATGGGGGGAGGGAGGGGGAGGGGGAAGGGGGGGGGGGGGGGACGATGAAAAGAGATGGTGGGGTGGTTATCTCCTTGCGCTCGCTGCTGCTGCTGCCGCCTCTCCCGCCCAGCGCGCCCACGTCGTGACTGCGAGGAATGGGGGGGGTGGGGGGGGGGGAGAGGAGGAGGAGGGGAGGGGCGGGGAGGTTGGGGGAGGATGGAAAGAGCTGGTGGGGGGTGGTTATCTCCTTGCGCTCGCTGCTGCTGCTGCCGCCTCCCCCGCCCTGCGCGCCCACATCGTGACTGCCAGGGTTGGCGGGAGGATGGGGGGAGGATGGCGGAGGGTGGGGGAGGGTGGTGGCGTTTGAGGCGCCTAAAATTGGACACTTCCGCGCTGTGCGCACACATCCTGACTGCCGGGGTTCAGAGGAGGGTGGGGGGAGGGATGGGGAGAAAAGGGGGAGAGGAATCTCCTTGCGCTCGCCGCTGCTGCCTCTCCCGCCCTGCGCGCCCACGTCTTGACTGCCAGGGTTTGGGGAGAGTGGGGAAGATGGTGGGGAGAGACGGGGTTTAGTGGTTAGCAGCTTGAACAGGCCCCCACGGTTCTGCGCGAGGCGCAATCATCCTCGAATCCGGGGGAGGAGACAGGGAAAGGGCGGACAGCGGAGGGCGGAGAGTCAGGCTTGGGGTTTAGCAGGAGCAGCAGAGATTCGGGTTTGGGGTTTACGGCAGCGGTAACGAACAGGTAGCAAAATCGCCGATTATCCGTGCCTGGGAAAACACGGGGAGAAGACGCAAGGCAAGACCATCAAGAAGTGCATATAATCTCGTGTAATGAGTCTGCTTTTGAGTCGACTCAAAAGTGCTAGCGGAAGTGCAGACGATCGCCGCGTTTCCGTTCCGACACGCACCCATCGAGATAGATGATCTCCGCGTTGCCTCGTTGGGCGGCAAACTCCCGCCCTGCCAGCTCAGCAGTGGTCAGCAGCTCGTCAAGGTCGCTCTGATCCACCACCGACACCAGCGCCGGTTTCGCCGCAGCTTCCGCCGCCGCGATGACGTGGCGCCTGCCCTCGTCAGCATGCTGGAACTCCGAGCCGCGGTTGAATCTATGGCGGATGAGGGAGGAGCCCAGACTCCCCGAGCCGCCTTTTTTCTTCGGCATCGCGTTGACGTGGCAGGATTGGATGAGACACGCCGGTACGGGTTACGATGATACGGGATTAGCGCTGAAGTACGGGCTGCGATGCGGACGTATGGGTCGATGGGCGTGGGTAGGGATTAAAACGCGCAGGGGTGGAGCTAAGACGGACAGATAAGGGGGATCAGAGCGAAAAGCAGGATTGTTGAGGTGACTGACTTCTACGGTCGGAAGAAAATCGAGTGGGCTTTGGAAGGGGGTATTCGGTGGGGCTTGGTTGCGAGCCTGGGCTTGACTCGATAACGGGAGCAACTGACGTTTGTGCTTTTAAATTAATGATTTACATAGCATGTGAACAAGTTATAACAAACCCCACATTTGAAGAAAACTATTGAACGAGGCATCGTGTTGAATTTATTGCCACATCCAAATAAATAGAATGCAATTGACATTGCACGAGTGGACATTGTTTTGGATTTTGATCGGAGAGAAGGCCAACAAAAATACAATGATTTGCTTGCTGTTGACTCCATTCTTTGTGGTGTACTAGCTTCGCTTGAGAAGCTTTGCACAACATGGCACGGATCGCGTATGCAAGAGATGTCCTACATGCCCTACACATGCCCAGAATTGTACGAGCATGTGTAGGGCAGGTGCTTCATGGCTGGAATAATGGGGGCAGGGGCCATTGAAGTTTGGAAGGGATGATTGATGAGCACCAAACGCCGTTTGTACTAGTACGGTATCAACACATCAGCACAAGCTGCCAGATTTAGGGAGGGGCAAACTTTGCTGCGGCACTCTACTCAAGAATCAAAACGCCATGCCATTTATTAACATGGTAACAGCACGTTAATGCAAGGGCAACGTGCCACCGTGGTCTGTACGTGCGTGGTTTCATGATAACGTTGACTAGGATGCAAATTTTCGATAAGCGAGTGTTGAAATTGAGCCACCCATATACCAACACTTCGATACAAGCGGCAAAATGCAGGGTAGGAGCTAAGCTTGACTGCAGCATCCTACTCTGACAGAAAAAGGCCATGCCAATTTATTTACTTGGTGGCAGCGGCAGGGTAGTAGAAGCGCACGGTGCGGCCATTGAGCGGCTGGGGCATGCGGTTGTCGGTGCGGTCCTGGTTGGTAACGGCCATGATGTTCATGAACTGGATCGCTTGCTCCACAGACAGCGGCTGCGCCTTGCGCAGCACGTGCCACGATACGATCTCGCTGCACTCGGGGGTGGTGAGCGACCCGGGATACGCCCAGAACCCGCTCGACGCGTCGATCATGTCGCTCCAGAAGGTGGGCGCGACGGAGACGGTGGCCGTGGCGTTGGTCTCGACGGGCGCCTGCGGCAGCCACTGGCGGAGCCACGCGGAGTCGGAGTCGTGGCGGTGCACGCGCAGCATCACGCCCACCACGGCCAGCTTGTTGGGGTCCACCGTGTGCACGTGCACGAAGTGCGCCTCCATGGGCGCGAACAGCCCGTTGATGGCGTGCTCCGAGTACGCGTGCACGTGCATCTGCAGCAGCTTGTAGTCGCCCGACGCCAGGTGCAGCAAGTGCGTCTCGTCCGCCGCCGGGATAACCTCTGTGGAAAGAAGAGAGCGAGGGAATTGGATTGGGACGGGGACGGGGACGGGAAAAGCAAGCCGGGGAAGCGCTGGACGGGGCGGAATGCAGCGCGGGAGACGATGAACGCGCAGGGCAAGAAGGGCAAGAGATGAGGCGCGCAGGCTTGATGGTTTCGTATGCGCGGAGCATACGCGGAAAGGGAAGCACGAAACTCTCATAGTATCAAATAACGCTCGCGTTTTGCGTCGGGTTTTGGACTCACGGATGGTGGAGCCCTTGTTGGCGACGGTGGCCGTCTTGCTGGCGCCGTACTCGAGCGCAAAGAGCTCGGGCTTACCGCCCTGCACTGCCCGGTCCATCACGATGTTCACCGGCGACTGCTTCTCGCCCGTCGCGCACGGGCCCTGCCAGTGGGGAGACGACGCGCACGCATTGAAAGAGGAAGAGATGAGTGAGCCGCATCAGGTTCGGCAACTGCTGCTTGACCGTCATGCACGCGCGCTGGAAGGGGAGACGACGCGAGACAGTGGAAATGAAAGCGAAGTGCGAGACTTGACAACGGAAGCGAAGCGAAGCCACGGTACTAGCGAGGGATCGAGAACGGAATTGGTGTGCTATGACGGCATCGTGAAGAGCATGCATCAAACGCGGTTGCGTCGTACTTCATCTTAAAAACGCCGAGAAGGAGAAAGGCGAGAGTTTGGTCCGTACCATCCAGTCGATGCCGCTCTTCTCGTAGTTGAACGCGCCGGTTGCGGCATTGGCGATAGCAGCGAAGGCTGCGAGCAGTACAAGAGCGACTGAAAGTGCGCGAGCCATGGCTAGGTGCTGCAAGTCGTTGAGAGATCGGGAGGCAGCTCGGGAAGATGAGACGATGGTTGTTGCTGTTGATGGTGGAAAGTGCGGAGGGTCGGGTATTTGTATGACACGAACTTTTGGTGTGTCACGGATCGCGCTTCCCGTCGCTGGACATGGTAGTGTTTTGTGGTTTGGGCTATCTGGGAATGTCATCACGAGCTGTTCACGAAGAGGAATGATGAAGTCAGCGAAACCGCGACATCTCGCCACTGCAGGATCCTGCCCTGGCGAAAGCTCGTCAATGTCGTCTAGAAGGTTTTCCTTGTCGAGCATATTCACTCCGCTTTGACAGCGTCGACTGTAGGCTGTGCTGGCGAAGGCTGAATTCGCCCCAGAATGCAAATTGTTTGAAATGTTAGCCTAGGTCCATTCTGGTTATCGCCGTAACGAGTGGTTCTCACCGCGAGGTTCTCGAGTCGCCCATCCTTTCCACCCTCTCGAACAACGCAGCATGACGTGACATGCGACGGGGGGCAAATTTCCAGGTGCAGTTCGGATCTGTGGAATTGTGGGGTTTTGTTTGAATGGCGCCGTGATATCCGCTTCCGCGTGTGTGTGTGGTTGCAGGCTGCCTTGCCAGGGGAGGATGAACCTTACCTAATGACGCGTACAAGCTTCCACTCTTCATGAATGGCTCAATTCGGTTACAGTAGTTTGTTCACAGGTATCCCATTTTTAAAATGAAAACGAAGCAAAGTCACGTCACGGGCATGGAATGGATGGGGGCGATTCGTGATCGTCCCTGCGAGAGCCACTCGTTACGCGCCGCGAACAGGATGGACCTGGGCTAACAATCTGACCAAGTCGCATTTCAGAGTCGGATTCAGCCTTCGCTGGGACAGCCTGGACAGTGAACCGAATTTCCCCCGGTTCAGCCAAGAATGTGCTCGAAGAGGAATTGTTCGCAATTCGCTATGTTGGGAATTTGTCAGGGCGAAAGTCTCCCAGTGTGGCGACAGTTCGCCCCTCTGTTGCGACATTCCTCTTCGTGATCTGTTTCGCGAAGGCTGTCCATGACAGCCTTACCTATCCCGTGCCAAGAATGTGCTTCGAAGCGCTTCGTCAATCTCAGCAGCAGCCCCCGTCATACAAATACAATACTTCCCATCTCTATCCCTTCACCAGCGAACTCTCATCAGGGCCACTACATTTATCGACTGCTCCCCGCAGTTCAGCTACGTGACAAGCACTAACGCCTGCAGCTATGGCGCGCTCACTTTCAGTCGTCCTGGTGATGCTCGCGGCTTTCGCCGCTGTCGCCAATGCCGCAACCGGCGCTTTCAACTACGAGAAGAGCGGCATTGACTGGATGGTAGGAACCAGAGCCTTACCTCCCTTGTGGCTGTTTTCTATGACACCGACGTAAAATCCTTCCTCAAATTTCAGTGCGACACGTACACTCCTTTCCTCCACCAACACTCCCTCCGCACAGTTTATCAATGACACTCGATCATTCACTGCTGACAACATTCACTCCTCCATCACCCTCTATTCCAATCATCATAGCTGCTAACCACATGTCCAACGCCCGCGCGCGACGGGCGAGCGGCAGTCGCCGAACCTGATGCGGCTCACTCATCTCTTCCTCTTTCAATGCGTGCGCGCCGTCTCCCCATTGGCAGGGCCCGTGCGCGACGGGCGAGAAGCAGTCGCCGGTGAACATCGTGATGGACCGGGCGGTGCAGGGCGGCAAGCCCGAGCTCTTCGCGCTCGAGTACGGCGCCAGCAAGACGGCCACCGTCGCCAACAAGGGATCCACCATCCGTGAGTCCGAATTCGACGCAAGTAGAAAGCTCATTTAGAACGACGCACGAAACCGAGAGTGGAACTCCTGTTCTTCCGTGCACCCCTTTCCGCAACACGAAACCGCGTCGAAAGAGATTATGGTCAGTCACTTGCACATCATTCCGACGCGTATGTTCCGCGCACACGAATTACTCCCAACTAGCGCGTCCCATTTCTCTCGCCTGTCTTGCCTCGCGCGTCCATCATCTACCGCGCGGCATTTCGCCCCCGTCCATCGCTTCCCCGGATGCCTTATCCCGTTCCGTCCCAACCCGATTCCGTTCCACTCTTCTTTTCGCAGAGGTTATCCCGGCGGCGGACGAGACGCACCTGCTGCACCTGGCGTCGGGCGACTACAAGCTGCTGCAGATGCACGTGCACGCGTACTCGGAGCACGCCATCAACGGGCTGTTCGCGCCCATGGAGGCGCACTTCGTGCACGTGCACACGGTGGACCCCAACAAGCTGGCCGTGGTGGGCGTGATGCTGCGCGTGCACCGCCACGACTCCGACTCCGCGTGGCTCCGCCAGTGGCTGCCGCAGGCGCCCGTCGAGACCAACGCCACGGCCACCGTCTCCGTCGCGCCCACCTTCTGGAGCGACATGATCGACGCGTCGAGCGGGTTCTGGGCGTATCCCGGGTCGCTCACCACCCCCGAGTGCAGCGAGATCGTATCGTGGCACGTGCTGCGCAAGGCGCAGCCGCTGTCTGTGGAGCAAGCGATCCAGTTCATGAACATCATGGCCGTTACCAACCAGGACCGCACCGACAACCGCATGCCCCAGCCGCTCAATGGCCGGACCGTGCGCTTCTACTACCCTGCCGCTGCCACCAAGTAAATAAATTGGCATGGCCTTTTTCTGTCAGAGTAGGATGCTGCAGTCAAGCTTAGCTCCTACCCTGCATTTTGCCGCTTGTATAAATGTGTTGTTGATAAGTGGCGTAATTTCAACTCCCTAAGCCAATTGCAAAACTCATCCACAGTGAACACTTGCTCAGGGATTTCAGTGTCCCCTACCCTGCCATGACCCTGCCCAATTAGCCCACCGTCTGTACAATGTGAAAACACATGCACATGATACATGTTCCAACATCTCATCCTGTTTACAAGATGAATGGTTGGCTTGGCGTATTCTTGAATGGAATTTGTTTTCTTCAGGATAATGCTCTACAAAGCTACTTATCCTCCTCTCCTGCTTGTTCTCTTTTTGATCCGAATGACAGCTGTACCATTCTGAAATTCACATTGGATTGGGCTTCCTCATGGAAAGACACTTAGTATGCTAAGCTGCGACACACATATTCAGCAAAATATTTCGCAGGTTTTTGCAGGCATGTGTTTCATGCTAGAATCCGTTTTTAGATTATATGTACCATGATTGTCGTTATGTTGTCTCTTTACACACGTTGTATGTGAGAACTTATATGGGACTTCATGTGCCAGTGTATTCTGCCCATATTTGAACGGAACCTTTGTGGTGCGCTCCAAACAAATTTCTGACGCGGGACAGGCTGGGAGGAGCGATTTGGCAGGCGATGGTCTTTCACCCATTTGCCAACATGCGCCTCGATTATAGAAGATTTGCGACTTGGCAGGTCCATGCGCGGTCCGATGTTGGTCAAATATTGGCTCAAATGTTGTCACCGCTCAGCGGGAAACCGGAGCCCCGGTTGGGGAATTGGCGCCCCTGTTTTGCTCTGTGGCTGCAGAAGCAGATCCAACTCTCCCCAAGGGAAACCTCCCCACTGCCCACCAACATCCTAGTGCTGAGGGAACCGTCTTTTCCGTTCTGACTTGCTCCAACCACGAATTACCACCGTCCCGCAAGACTCGCAAACAAGCAGCCTCTTATATTTATAGGTCACGAACGCGTAGCTTCGCACTATTTCGAATTGAACGACAGTGTAGAGCCAAGCAGGTAGGAAAATCAAGTACGCTTTCTTTCGTGGTAGCCGCATCTTTTACAGGCCACCAAACACTGAGGATCTACGTCAAGAACAGCGTTTTTATTCCGCAAATTACTGGTGATCATGAAGGCCTCCACGAGGCAGTCGGTACACGCAGTGCGAGGGCGACTCCAGGCCTCCACATTCCTTTTGCTAATCACCTTCTTCGCCGCGACGCAAGGTGCAGCTGCGTTGTCAAAGCTTCCGAACACGCCATGCGAGGGCGACTCCAGCCAATCCGCGCACTTCTGGTGGCCACGTGTCGTCAGAACCATCCGCGGCCGAAGCGCTCTCGAGACGGCAGGTGCAGGCAGTGACAATTTCGTGGCGACGGGGGCATCCGCAGCGCCTCGGAAACTCGGCGCGCAGTTAGCAGCGCCTGGATCCTCGGGCCCCACTTTCGCCGAAGTTCTTGCTGCCTCTGTTGCCACCCCTGGCAGCGCCGACCCCGCTGGGGCAGTTTCTGCCACCGTGCTCCCTGCTTCTACTGCTGCTGCTTCTGCTGCCGCGCCTGCTGCTACCCAGCCCCCCAAGTCCGAATCCGCTCCTCCTCCTGCCGCGGCGAAGACTCCTCCTGGGAAATTGCCCTCTCCTGGCAAGGGGACACCCGCCAGTGGTGCCGCGGGCGGCGCTCCCGCTTCCCTACCTGCACCCGCTAAGCACTTGAGCCCCGATTCGAAGTCCGCCCCTTCCATTCCGAAGACCGATGGCCCCACGCCGAAGCAGACTCATCCCGCGCCGAAGATCAACCCCACGTCGAAGGGCAACCCCACGCCGAAGCAGGCCAACCCCACGCCGAAGCAGCCTGCCTCGTTGCCAAAGCTTACGCCTGTTCCCAAACCGAACACACCTGGCCCGAAGCAGACTTCGCCTCAGCCCAAGACAGGTACTCTCCCCTCTAAGCCCGCTGCCCTCCCCCCTAAGCCCCCCGCTTCCCAGCCTGAGCCCGCTTCTCTTCCCCCTAAGCCCGCAGCTTCCGCAAGGCCTCTCGCGACCGTCCGATCGACCGCTAGCTCGCCGCTGGCAACAACCAAGGCCGTCAACTCGACCGGCAATTCGACCACTCCGGCAGGAAACAGCACCGTGTCGGCCGGAAACTCTACCACGCCGCCGGCTCATGCGGTGGGATCGCGTGATTGCCAGTACTTGCAGCTGAAGCAGCTTCACACGTGCGCCGTTGGATATGCTCGTTCCGCCGGGATTCGCGGCGGCCAATGGCCGACTTCCTCGTTGTTTGAAGTTGAAACGGAAGTTGACACGCTGGAGTATGCGAAGCTTCCGGAGAAGTCGCTCCGGTACGCGCTGATGTACCTCCCGCAAGGGGCGATCATCACGTTTTCGCGAAGCATGGAGATCGTGTTACAGGGTAACCTGTTCGTGCGTTCGCGAGTGACGATCGATGGGCGCGGCGTGCACGTGCGCATTACCAACGGCAGCATCGTCCTCCAGAACGTGAATGACGTCATCATTCATAATATCGAAGGTATGTGCACAGTGCTTGTGTCCCTTTCCCGCATCATCCGCCCACTCCTCCCCCCTCTCCCCCCCTCTCGTCCCCTTCCCTCTAATGCCACACACTCATCTTCCATCCTCTCCCCCCAATGCCCTCTCTCCGTGCTCGTTCGGGGTTCATTCGTAACAGTGTCGGGTAACCCGCGCGGCGATCTGATTCCGATCTACAACAGCAGCCGCGTGTGGATCGACCACTGCCGTCTGCGGGACGCGCTCACGGGCACGGTCGACGTGGCCAAGGGCTCCACTGACGTCACCATCTCGAATTGCTACATCAGCAGCCGCGGGCAGACCATGCAGGTACAGCCTCCCCCAGAAGATTCCTGCACTCCCCAAAATCACTTGCACTTCCTCCTCTGCCACATCCTTATATTCCCACTTTCCTCCCCGCTCCTCCGTGCATCCCGCTCCTCCGTGCATCCCGCTCCTCCGTGCATCCCGCTCCTCCGTGCATCCCGCTCCTCCGTGCATCCCGCTCCTCCGTGCATCCCGCTCCTCCGTGCATCCCGCTCCTCCGTGCATCCCGCTCCTCCGTGCATCCCGCTCCTCCGTGCATCCCGCTCCTCCGTGCATCCCGCTCCTCCGTGCATCCCGCTCCTCCGTGCATCCCGCTCCTCCGTGCATCCCATTCCTCCGTGCATCCCATTCCTCCGTGCATCCCATTCCTCCGTGCATCCCATTCCTCCGTGCATCCCATTCCTCCGTGCATCCCGTACCTCCGTGCATCCCATTCCTCCGTGCATCCCGTTCCTCCGTGCATCCCGTACCTCCGTGCATCCCATTCCTCCGTGCATCCCGTCGTTCTCTCACAATGCAGCTCGGTCGACGCGGAGGAAGCGGCCAAGGCCATGCGGGTGACGGTCTACCGCAACTGGTTCAACGCAGCCCGGTCGCCTCTTTCTCCCCCCCTGTGCTCATTTTCTTACCCCATCTATTCGTGGCACTCCCCTCGCTTTGCAGCTCGGCCTGTCCGACGCGGAGGAGGCGGACAAGGCCATGCGGGTGACGGTCTATCGCAACTGGTTCAACGCATCGGGCTCCATGCAGCCGCTCTGCCGCAAGGGAAGCTGCCACGTGGCAAACAACGTCTACTCCGCCTGGTCCTACTACTGCCTCGCCGCCCGCCGCGGCGCGCTCGTCCGGTCAGAGAAGAACTTTTTCCGGCCTGCCCAGGGGTCGGCTCGGCGGGAGGTCACGCCTTGGTATAGGGGCATGCCGGCAACAGACGTGTGGTACGACGCTTCAGTCACCATCGCTTCGTTCCAAGATTACTTGGCTGGAGGCGCGACGTTTAATACGACCGCATACGCCGGCGCCACTCCGATCTTCACGCCGCCTTACGCGCTGTCGCTGCCGCGGAATCCACGTCAGATGGAGGCTATTTTGAAGGTCAACTGCGGTCCCAAGTACGATGCCGAGTCAGCACTTCCCCCTGCCTCGTCGGAATTCCTGCCACCTGCCCCACCGGCCCCAACCCCCACCAATACCACCAATACCACCGCTTCTACTACTGCAACTGCGAACACTACTGCCGCTGGTAACAGCACCGTTACGAGTAACACTACCTCGCCTCCGTCGTCGAACGACTGCCAGTATTCCCCTTCTGGTGCCGGAATTGGCCTTGGGAATTGCTCGATGGGTTTCGCTGCTGCGGGCTTGGTGGGTGGCGCTGCGAAAACCACATACGTGGTCACTCTAGAGGAGGATTCGACATCCGCTACAAGACAGGGCTCGCTGCGGTGGGGCATCGCGAATTTCTACAAAACTGGCGCTTATATAAAATTCGCTCGGGATATGACGATTCAGCTGGTGGCGCCGCTGTATGTGAAATCGTTCATGACTCTGGATGGGCGAGGGGTCAACGTGAAAATCGTGGGAGACAGCTTGCTTGTGCAACACTCAACGCAAGTCATCATCCACAACATAGAATGTACGTCATGGGTCATTCTTCATGTAATGCTTGTCATGCGGCTCTATTTCCAACTCTTTGGCACCACATTGTGTCAGACCATTGCCAGCTTTGCCACTCTTTGCCGACCATTTCCCAACCCCCCAAATCAGACTCTTCTCATTCAATACTCCCCTTTCCACCACCCCCAATCATTCACTCAACTCAACCCCCTCAATCCCTCTCTTCCCCCCACTCCCCCATTCCACGACCCCTTCCTACCACCAGTTTCCAGCAGCAGAACAGCCCCGGCTACCATCTCTCTCTACAACAGCAGTGCCGCTTGGATCGACCACTGCCGCTTCTCCAACCTCTCAGCGTCTACTCCTGCTATTGAACTCGCCCGTAACAGCACTGCGGTTACCATCTCCAACAGCCACTTCCAAGGCACTCTCGGCACGCAAACTCTTGCTGCCACTGCAAGCCCAGCCTCCGGGACAGGCTCGGCACTGCACCTGGGCCAATCAGACGGCGACGCGATCAACAGCGGCATGAATGTTACAGTCTACAGGAACTGGTTCGAGTCCTTATCTGCAATGCAGCCGCTATGCCGGTTAGGCAAGTGCGATGTGGCAAATAATCTCTACACCAACTGGACTGGGAGTGCTGTAGAAGCCAGGGCAGGCGCCCAGGTGCTGCTACAGAGCAACCTCTTTATAAGTGGTTCTGACTCGGTACAAGTCGTGGCGAACACCACATCCATCCCACCGGGTACAGTAGCAGAAGCAGCGAACTCCACCAACACTATCAAGAGCACAACTGGGGTAGGGGCAGCTGCTGCGATGGGTCCTACAGTGAACGCCTCTCTGGTTTTCAGTCCGCCATACGAGGTGCCTCTAGGGGATCCGAGCACGCTGCTCTTTACTGTCTTCATGAAGCTCAATGCAGGGCCCCACGCCAACTGACCTGCCAGCCGCATGCCAACCAAGGGTGAATGCGCCCCATGCCTGGTAAGGTGCAGCGGCCCATGGGAGCAAGCAGAGAAGGCAGGGAGCTCAACTGATGGGCCGACTAACTGAACTCCCTCCTTTCCCTCTGCTCAGAGCCCCTGCAGGGGCTGCATGGATTCACTGTGAGTCTGCTGGGTGTAGCTAAGGGCAAAAAATGTGATAGCTGCAGCTATGGAGGCTGCATGCAGCCAGGGTCGAAACTTTCTGTCAGCTCTTCGATGACAGTGAAGATAGTTAGGGCAGTGTAGTGACAAAGATATATGGTATGATTAAATACCCCACAAATAACAAATTACCACCTTCACTTATATGCCTTAACACATGGCAGATGCTGCCAGTACCTACATCCACTCACTTATATCCACCATTCTCAGCATCTGCTATTGTACCTCCCACCCGTATGTCTCACAGGGTGCATGTGCGAGCACTAGTAAGCAACTCTTGACCTAACAGCTTCTGACCTAGGCGGTAAATCACACAGAGGGCTTTGTGCCGCATACTGCACACAGGGGCAGGAGCATTGAGGTGGGATGCACATGCTAGTCAATCATATCAGAGCAGCTCTTGAGGCAGCAGCTCCTTCTGACCCAAGTGGTAGACCACACACAGAGACTTGTGCAGGGACAGCAGCATGCAGAGGGTTGCACGGACTAACACATGCGGATATGGAGAGAGACACTCGCTGGACATGTGCATGCATGGGCTGCATCTGAGCTTCCTACTTTGCATCAAGCCTCCACTCTGCCATGCCCACCTCTTATCATCAAGCACACCAGTGCGCGCATGTGCATGCAGCCAAGCTGCATCATCTTCGGAAGACCCTGTTTGTAGCATGTTGTCGAGTCTGCGTGAAGGGGTAGAGGAGAGGAGGGGAGATGTAGCTGAGGAGGGGAGCATGCTACATGAAGAGGAGAGAGTGAGAAAGGGTAGTCAAGAATAGGGAAATCACCACGCCGGAGCCTTGGGCCCTTTCCTTGATTTTGCAGGGTATTTTTTAGAATTCTCAAGCATACCCTTTCAGCATGTTGTCGAGTATGCACCAAGGGGTGGAGGAGAGTGTGGGAAGCGGTAGCCGAGAATAGGGAAATCACCACGCCGGAGCCTTGGCCCCTTACCTTTGCTGCAGAAGCTGTTGCAGCAGCAGCAGCGGCTGTGCATCCCCCCCTCCTGCCTCCCTCACTGCCTCCTCTGCGTCTGCAGGGTTGAGAGGAGCCTCCCCTGCTGCTGCCTTGCACTGGAATGGGCAGCAGAGGAGAAAGGAGGAGACGAGTTGTGCAGGTGACTTTCTGAGTTATATTCTTGATGTAATAAGGAGAAGAAGAAAAGGAGGCGAGAAGTGATAGAGGTCAGTGGGACAAAGAATAGCGGGGTGAAGATTTGAGTACCGTGGTAGCAGCAACCAGAAAACTATAAGGCCTCCCCTACCATGCATACCGAGCATACCAAGCATACCAAGCATCCCAAGCATCCCAAGCATACCAAGCATACCAAGCATACCAAGCATACCAAACATTTCCAAGCATACCAAGCATACCAAGCATACCAAGCATAACAAGCATACCAAACATTTCCAAGCATACCAAGCATACCAAACATTTCCAAGCATACCCAGCATACCAAACATTTCCAAGTATACCAAATATTTCCAAGCATACCAAGCATAGCAAACATTTCCAAGCATACCAAGCATACCATACATGCAATGCACATGCCATACATGCCACACATGCCACACATGCCACACATGCCACACATGCCACACATGCCATACATGCCACACATGCCACACATGCCACACATGCCATACATTCCATACATGCCACATCTATAACCATACTGTACCCCACATCACCACACACACCTCCATCAGCACTGTAATGGCAGCAGCCACCTGTGCTTCCGAAAGTGAGAGCACTCGCAGTGCTGCCACCATGCCGTGAGGCAACACATTTACATGTTCACCTTCGTCCTCATGCTCCTGCCACACATGCATCAGCAGGCACATACCTCCGTGCGTGCCGTCGTGGCAGCAACCACCTGCGTTTGACAGAGTGATAAGGAGTGACAAACAAGGACATTCTATGCCACACATGCATGAGCAGCCACATACCTCCATGAGTGTTGTTGTGGCGGCAACCACCTGCAGTTCAGTGAGTGAGAGCACTCGCAGTGCCGCCATCATGCCGGGGGGAAACAGGTCTCCAGGCTCATGCCCCCCCTCCTTTTCCTGCTGCTGCTGCTTCTCCTGCAGCCCCTCTTCCTTGCACTGCGCTTGCCCTTTCTGCTGCTCCTGCTCCTGTGCCTCATGCTGCTGCTGCTGCGGCTCTTGCTGCTGCTGCTCCTGTGCCTCATGCTGCTGCTGCTGTGGCTCCTGCTGCTGCTGCTCCTGGTCCTCTTGCTGCCCCTGAAGAATCTTTGGATTCTTCGGGCAACGAGGAATGATCCATTGTAGTGAGAGGTCCTGTAAGGAGGATGACGTGCGACAGGAGAGAATGAACGGTATAACATGATTTTTGAGTCGACTCAAAAATCACCTGAGAATGAACGGTATAACATGGAGCATGAAGCATGACGAGCGAGGGGGCAGAGCACAGGATGAGAGCCAGTGACGGCAGGACATGAATCATGCTTATTGATTATCCTGCCAAACAACAAGTATATCATCAATATAGAAACCGCTTGTAATGAGTCTGCTTTTGAGACGACTGGAAAGCAGAATCATGCATACTAGTGATCCTTCAAGGTGAACCAAGGGCACGAATCCTGTGGGAACCATCTGCACCCTTCTCAACACCTAGTAGAACCATTTGCTGATAGTACCTAACGCTTTTGTTGCTCGCCACCTGGATAGCCAGTGGCTGCACTACAGCTTGGTGTCAGTCAGCACTTGGAGAGGGTGAGCAGTGGTGACCAGAGGTGGGCAGAGGTGTGCACATGGGTGCTGCAAGGTCAAAAGCTGCAAAGTCTATAGCAGCAAGGTCGGGAAATGAGTGCCAGCATGTTACATGTATAGCTAGTAGGTGATTAGGCAGTACCTCACTTGGCAAGGTCTCATTTGCCGAGGTCTCATTTGCCAAGGTCTCACTTGGCAAGGTCTCACTTGGCAAGGTCTCATTTGCCAAGGTCTCACTTGCCGAGGTCTCACTCACTTGCCAAGGTCTCGCCTGGCAAGGTCTCACTTGCCGATGTCTTACTTGGTAAGGTCTCACTTGGCAAGGTCTGTACCACACGTACCTGGATTGCGAGCAGCTGCAGCTTGGTGTCGGCACATGGGTCGTCCTGCAGCTGAGCAGCGGGGTAGTTGAGCTGACAGTGGGCATGTCAAAAGGGTGGAACGCAGAGGGAAGAAGTGGAAGGAGGAGGTGAGGAGAGGGCAAGGCAGGAGGCGCCAAGGGTTTAGTGGATATATGGAAGAGAGAAGAACGGCTGGGCAGAACTGGGAGAAGAGTGGCTGAGTCCAATAGAACTCAGCCAAGAGGAGAGTGCCAAGAGGAGAGTGCCAAGAGGAGAGTGGATGGATGGAACTGGGAAGAGCGGCTGAGTCCAATAGAACTCAGCCAAGAGGAGAGTGCCAAGAGGAGAGTGCCAAGAGGAGAGTGCCAAGAGGAGAGTGGATGGATGGAACTGGGAAGAGCGGCTGAGTCCAATAGAACTCAGGCAAGAGGAGAGTGCCAAGAGGAGAGTGCCAAGAGGAGAGTGGATGGATGGAACTGGGAGAAGAGCGGCTGAGGGGCAGAGTGATAGCATGGATATGCTTGAATATCCTTAATGATAAACATTTCAGCATCAATCTGCTCAAAGCTGTGATACAGTGGTCCAGGGGCAGAGAGTTGTGGGGGCAGGGGCATGTGTGGGGGGCATACCATGAGGCGCTCAATGGAACACCGGCTAATACGTGGCCATGTTGTCAATACGTGGCAGCCAATACGTGACTTTTGGGGCACGTGTGGGGGGCATACCATGAGGCGCTCGTGGGGGTTGTTACGTATGGCAAAGCCGTAGAGAAACAGAAGCTCCTGGTGGGAAGCAGGGAGGGCGGGCGCGTAGGGGGGAAGGACACGGGCCCAGGGGGAATGGAGAGTATGGCAGGAGTTCTCGTGTATCTGTGTGCTTCTGGCACTGCTTCTCCTCTTGTGAGTTGGCGGACTTGGGTAGTTGGCGGACTTGGGTAGCTGGCAGACTTGGGTAGTTGGCGGACTTGGGTAGATGGCAGACTTAAGAAGTTGGCGGACTTGGGAAGTTGGCGGACTTGGGTAGTTGGCGGACTTGGGTAGCTGGCAGACTTGGGTAGTTGGCAGACTTGGGTAGTTGGTGGACTTGGGTAGTAGGCGGACTTGGATAGCTGGCACCGGCGAATACCATGAGGCACTCGCGGGGTTGTTGGGCATGGCAAGACCGCAGAGAAATAGAGGCTCGTGAACACCTGACTACCCCTCCACATGTACTCACCTCTTTGCCCCCAACAGGGGCCACAACTCCAGTAGCTCCCGCACACTTCAATTCCATTCAAGCAGCTCTCAGCACTGTATTTGCGTCGTTCCCCAGACAAGAACACACTGTGCTGCCCGCCTAATGTACGCACCTCGTGGCCCCCCACAGCAACACACAAACAGAATCGGCTGACTGTGGCGCCGCATGTACTCACCTCGTTGCCCTTGTCCCCATAGCTGATTGTCACCTCGTTGCTCCCCACAGGGGGCAACACTGCAGGGGGTGTAAATGGGTTGGGGGAGGTGGAAGGAAGGGGGCAACAGATAAATGCGAGGGAAGAGATGAGTGTGAGGGGGAGGGGGGCAGATGCGTACAGGAGGTATACAGCATGTTGAAGTATCTGAGAGTCAGGACAGAGGCATCATCTTGCAGCAAGCACACAGCATCAGAGTCGGCCGTCCGTTGAAGTGGCTGCGAGACTGACACTGAACCTGCTGCTACTTTTGAGGCGCCTAAAAAATAGGCATGTTAAGTACCTGAGAGTCAGGGCAGAAGCATCACCTTGCAGCAGGCACACAGCATCAGAGTGGGTCATCGGGTCAAGTGGCTGTGCGACTGACGCTGAACCTGCCACCCCTCCGTCTCCCATCCCATCGCCTTCTCCCCCGTTGCCACTCTTTCCAGAAAAGCGCGTGAGCTGATTGGCTGTGAAGACCTCCCATCGAGCGCAGGGAAGCATGGCTGCAGGGGAGAGGAGAGGCAAAAGAAGAAAAGCAGGGGTTGAGAGGCTTGCAGTTAGGTGATCTGGTTGAGCGGAGACAGTTAAGTGCGTTGATTGGCTGTGAGGAGCTCTTATCGAGCGCAGGGGAGAATGGCTGCCGGAGAGAGGAGAGAGAGACAAGAGGAGACAAGCAGGGGTTGAGAGGGCTAGGTAAACGACAAACAAGTAATGGGTGATGGTAACTGGGAAGGAAACTGAGGATTCGGAGGAGGCCAATTGACGTACAGTGGTTGCAGAAGTCGATTCCAGGGACAATCGCCTCCAGACAGCGTGACGCGGAAGACGCAGGAGTGGCATCGCGAACAGCATCACCAGCATCACCAGCATCACCAGCATCAGCAGTATCAGCGTCAGCGTCAGCAGCAACAGTAGCATCATCAGCATTACCAGCGCCAGCGACATCAGCATAAGCAGAGCGGCAGGGAGTGAGGGGGAGGCTGAGAGCTCGCGACCAGAAGATGGAATTGGCCCTGATGTAACGGGAGGACGCATTCACGAGATGTGGATGGGTGTGTGGAAATAGGGGAGTGTGAAAAGCTGAGGAAGAGGGTTGCATATTGTGAGGAGGCGGAGGATTGTCAACACATGCGCACACATGGAGAGATTGGATTGGTCGATAAAATGGGACAGGAGGACGGGCGAGAGGTGCAACAAGCGAGGGGGCGACGACGCAGAGAAAGGCAATGGATGGGGGAGTCCGTACCAGAGGAAATCATCCAGGGAGATGCCGGTGGAGGCGTCGCCACTCTGCCCGCCCTCTGCCACCACAGCAGCAAAGAGGGCACCAAACCAAGACAAGGGAACACGGGAGAGTACGGACCACCTTACATACCAGAGGAAGTCGTACAGGGAGATGCTGGTGGAGGCGTCTCCACTGCGCCCGTCCTCTGCTTCCCCCACCACAGCAGCAAAGAGCGGCTCCACCTGTTCTTCATACACACGCCTCAAGTTGGCCCTCTGGGCAGAACAGGGCGATGGAGAGACAAGTGCACCAGAGGATGGCATCAAAGCATGCACAATCACACAGGCTGAGACACTGTCGACCATCGCCCCCTGCTTCCCCCACCACAGCTGCAAAGAGCGGCTCCACCTGCTACTTGTACTCACGCCCCAAAGCCCATCCAAGCCCATCCAAAGCCCATCCAAGTCCATCAAAGCCCATCCAAGCCCATCCAAGCCCATCCAAACCCATCCAAGCCCATCCAAAGCCCATCCAAAGCCCATCCAAGCCCATCCATAGCCCATCCAAAGCCCATCCAAAGCCCATCCAAAACCCATCAGAGCCCATCCTAAGCCACCACCCGGAGTGGTTTTCCACTGGTTTGCCACCACCCTGTGTGGGTTTCCACGGTTTGCCACCACCCTGAGTGGTGTTCCACTTGTTTGCCACCACCCTGAGTGGCATTCCACAAGTTTGCCACCACCCTGAGTAACTTCCCACTAGTTTGCCGCCACCATCGGTGGTTTTCCACTGGTTTGCCAGAACCCCGAGTGGTTTTCCACTGGATGGCCACCACCCTGAGTGGTTTTCCACTGGTTTGCCACCACCGTGAGCGGTATTCCACTGTTTTGCCACCACCCTGAGTGGTTTTCCACTGATTGGGCACCACCCTGAGAGGTATTCCACTGGTTTGCCAGCCCCCTGAGTGGTGTTTCACTCGTTTGCCACCACTTTGAATGGCTGGCGTCCAGCTGAGGGTGGCTGGCGTCCGTTCGCTCTCCTTATATTGAGGCATTCAGCAGGTATTCGTTCAAAGCCTACCTGTGCGGACGCAGCCGCGTGTAGAGGCGTGCCTCTGAGCTCCCCCAACGGGGCCTGGACGAACCACAGGGGCGAGTGAAAGACCTGCCGTGTCATGTGACCCTGTTACCCCTGATATTGCAGGTCTCACTGTTAGCCTACCTGTGCGGATGCAGCCGCGTGCAGAGGTGTGCCTGTGAGCTCCTCCAGCGTGGCCTGGTCGAACCACAGGGGCGAGTCAAATGACTGCGGAAGACAGGCGAGGTACCTGCAGGCAGGTAGATGTGAGGGAAGAGAAGTGTGGGGAAGAGTGGGGGGAGAGGAGAAGTTTGGGGGGAAATTGTGGGGTGTGAGTGTGAGTCAAGGGGAGTGCCTCTGGGCTCGTGAAATGCAATGTGGCCTGGTCGAACCACAGAGGCGAGTCGAAGGACTGTGGTAGATAGATAGGCGAGGGGTTGCAGGAAGGGTGCTTGGGGCCTGAGAAGGTCAACTTGACCTGAGAAAGACCCAATGCACTTACGGAGCTCAGAAAGAGATGTGTTTTTTGTGGCAGCGGTGCAGCGGCAGCAGGAGAACAACGAGCATGCAGCGATCCAGCAGGCCTTGGGATTGCAGCAGCACTAGAAGAATCACCGAAAGGTGACTGAGTTGTATTGAACGACTTACGGAGCCCAGAAGGAGCGGTCTTTCTGGTGGCATCGGTGCAGCAGGAGGAGGAGGATGACGAGCATGCGGTGATCCAGCAGGCCTTGGGCGTGCAGGCGGCGGAGGGTGGATCCGTAGAGGGGGTCTTGAAGGGCAGTGGGCGCGGAGAGGAGGAGGGAGAGAGGCACCGAGAGAAGCAGGGTGTCTGTCGTTGTGTGGGGATGAAGAGAGTGGGGAGGAAAAGGAGTTTGCGAGAGTGAATTCGGGGAAGGCCTGGATCCGGGGGAGAATGTAATGGCAGAAGCAGGAGATCGAGTTGAAGCCTCCAACAATCCTGAGTAGAGGACCAAGGGGAGCGAAGGCTAGAAAATGTGTAGAGTTGACAAGGATTTGAGTCCTGATTCGGTGATTGTAGAGAGCCTAGACTCGTCTTATGTGGTCCACATGAAAGAATTTCACACGAACCTTCATCGACGGTGCATTTTCGCTCATCCTTATCCAATCTGGATAGGAAAACGCCAAATCCGGCACTGGAGGGGGCATGATCACCCGTCCGAGCCCCCCGTTCTGCAGCTTCCCCCTCCGTGGTAGCGGAATCGCCAGTCGTGGCGTCACTCGAGCATGCTTGCGAGTCTTCTCCCACGATAGCTGCTCGATCACTGGCCCTGACGTCTCCTACTCGTGAATCAGTCGTCACGAGGATGGATTCTGATGACTTGGAGGGGACTGACGCGACGGATGGCGAAGTTTTTGCAAGGCATTGGCGAATTTCACAGCCGTATATGCGAGCACCGTGTTCCTGAAAAGGAAAAGAACGGGATTACTGCCAGGGAGATAAAGACCCGCCTGTCGCGTCGGACGACGTCAGGCATAGATGCTGAAAGGACTGGCGATCGACGCAATGTGGAAAGCTCACCTCAAGCCATGTTACGAGAGCTGACGGCATGGCGGGAAACGCAACGTTGAAATAGTGAGGCCATGTCCATGGCAATGGTGGGACCTGCACATCCTGTAAATTCAGGCAGAGCTCAAATCCCTTGTCCTCGACATTGGCACCAAAATGCTGACTCGGTATTGGCTTTTTTCGTTTCTATATTTGTCACATAAGAAACAGTGTCACATCAGAAGAAGCCCACCCCCAACGCCGAGATAATTGCTGGCGTCCACTCAGTGATGACCAAGTCAGCTCCCACGTCCTTCGGGTTCTGCAGAAATCTATCGAATCACAGCGCTCAAACTCCCCAGCTTGCCGCCGCATACGTGGAGACGAAAAAGCGGCATGTGTCCAGCAAAAGGGGCATTGGAGCACCAAAAGCAGCAACACACGTCAGCGAAATGTAACTTATGTCTGGATCACCTGCACCAATACCATTGAACGCTCACGCAATTCCTTAGGTGATCGGGTCGCCTCTATCGCACCTCTCATTGCTCAACCTTATGGTAACAGAAGTTGTAAGGTTGTGTAACACTCAACGTCAGCCGTCCGATGTGCCTGTCTGCACGGAGAACCCGTTGGAATGTCCGATGAAATGCAAGCATCCGAAGGAAGCAGAGTGACAAAAATCTGAGTGACAGACAGCACAGCAGCTCTCCTGACAGTAGCAGGCTTGTATATTTCACGCAACCTGACATAATTCTTCATATTCCCACTTGTCCCTTCCGTTAGCCTCCTTGTTCATCCGCTTTTTTTCCGCTAGCAGAGAACCACTCGATCGTCACAATGGCGACCGCGATCTCCCTCTCTGCACGCGTTCCTACCGTGCTGAAGGCATCTGAGAAGAGGACTGTTGCCGAAGCCAGCAATGTGACTGAGCTGGTAAGCGCGCCCTAGATCGCTTCAGATTATTCTTTAAGTACAAGCTCCGATTGTCTTTCAAACCACATTCTCTCCCTCTCGCGCGCGATTCATTTCTCCGACTGACATCACACACTATTCTGATCTTCCTCTCTTTCTCGCTCAGGCCTTTTCTCGATCCTTCCGCGTCAACAACAGTCCCAAGGTCTCATGCAAACACGTGAAGGGAACGAAGGCTTCGAGATGCGTAGCAACCAGGGCTGCTATTGCGACCGAGAAGCCTCCCACTGATTCTGGTGAGTCATTTGAAGGTTCGGGGTGGAGTAAACCCGTTCCACCATTTCTCGAGACACCCACTGACGGTTTCACATGTCTATTGTGACAGCTTCCAAGGGGAAGAGCAAGATCCGCATCGGAATCAATGGTACGTCGTTTAATATCGGACTGCAAGGCTCGGCTAAGTGTCGCATCCGTTCCTTCTGTTGTCTTCCTTCAAGGCTGTATGCTAACATCTTCTCGTACTGTTTGTTCAGGTTTCGGTCGCATCGGTCGTCTTGTTCTCCGCGTTGCTCTGGACAGGCCTGATGTGGAGGTCGTTGGCATCAACGACCCCTTCATCGACACTGACTACATGGTATTTGCCACTGACGATTACATAGCTTCCTGTCATGGTCACTATTGATCGTTGACTGTCACATCTACGTAACCTTATGTCGCAATCCGCTCAGCATTATATCGTACTGACTCGTTCCTTGTAACGATTGCTCTTGTTCAGGCTTATATGTTCCGCTACGATAGCTCACACGGCACTTACCCCGGCGATGTTCACGCTGAGAGCGCCACCGCCATCAACATAGACGGCCAAAGCATTGCTGTTTTCGGAAAGAGGTAGGTTCGAGGTTTCAATAATGGAAAGTATACTCGAATTCAGGAAACGAGTCGGCAGCACGGCTAACGATTATGATCTCTCTCTGGCCCGTGCCCGCAGGGACCCAGCTGAGATTCCTTGGGGTGAAGCTGGTGTCGACTTCGTGGTGGAGTCCACTGGTACGGATTTCAAACTCTGCGCAACAGCTCTTCCAAGTGTTCTGGCAAGATACAGTACAAAAAGTAATGCAACATTGCTATTTACATGCATGCAGGCGTTTTTACCACTGTCGCCAAGGCCGAGGCCCATATCAAGGCTGGAGCGAAGAAGGTGGTGATTACTGCTCCTTCAGCAGACGCTCCCATGTTCGTGATGGGAGTGAACAACGAGAAGTACCTCCCTACCATGAACGTTGTTTCCAACGCCAGTTGCACCACCAACTGCCTGGCTCCCCTCGCCAAGGTAAGGAAGTAATGTTTTCATCTTTCGATCTACATGTCTAGAAATATTGAAGCCTTACCAAGAGTATACGGTTTTCTAATGCGGTGCTTGTTTCGGCTTGATGCGGAACAGGTGGTTCACGAAGAGTTTGGCATTCTCGAGGGACTCATGACCACTGTTCACGCTGTCACAGGTCGGTATCCAGGTTGAAACGATTCTCTGTTTCCTTTTTCTTCTTAAGGGATTTTTTTAAACTTACATTCGCTTTTTGTACTTGTGCTGCAGCGACTCAGAAGGCTGTTGATGCGCCATCAGCTAAGGACTGGCGTGGTGGGCGGGGAGCCGCACAGAACATCATCCCCAGTGGCACTGGTGCTGCCAAGGTAAGAAGGACGCCTCAGCTTGATGATTGCATTAAGTGTGTGCATGCTGGAGGCCTCCAGACACGTACATATTTCGATCATAAGCGTATAGTGAAAGATTTAAATGCATTGGCGGGATGCAGCGGTTCAACTGATCTTGTAACGTGTTAATGCAGGCGGTGGGCAAGGTGCTTCCTGCCCTGAACGGCAAGCTGACTGGCATGGCCTTCCGTGTGCCCACCCCTGACGTGTCTGTCGTTGACCTCACTGTTCGGCTGGAGAAGGGAGCCAGCTACGACGAGATCAAGGCTGCCATCAAGTACGCTGAGCTTCCTGAGAGTGTCAAACCCCTTACTACGCTTCTTGGTTAAAGGACATTGGTTTGACATGTGTCGTCCTTGTGTACTGCTCGTGCAGGGCTGCATCTGAGGGCTCCCTGAGGGGTTATTTGGGTTACACCGAAGATGATGTTGTCTCCACTGACTTTTTGGGTGACCCCAGGTATGAGCATGATATCCTTGGAAGGCCATTTATGTTTCGACCCTTCAAATGTCAAGCTTTGCTTCCGATGATTCCTTCTGAGCCTTGGCAGGTCGAGCATTTTCGATGCCAAGGCAGGAATTGCCCTCACGCCTAACTTTGTCAAGCTGGTGTCGTGGTACGACAACGAGTGGGGCTATAGGTAATGGCATAGAAATTCCCTTTCTCTGTTCATTGTACTATGTTTGAAGGGCATCAGCTAACCATGACGCTTTGTTGACATTGCAGCAACCGAGTCATTGACCTCGTGGAGCACATGGTGGCAGTTGCAGTTGCCGATGCCGGCAACTAAAGCATATACATTAGCCATAGAATTGTGTTCAGCAATGGCTTGTCATTTTCCTCATTGTTAATGGAAAATGTGTTGCAGATTGTGTTGGAAGAGTCTTGTTCACTATAAAATCACAAAACCAGGGCAACAGTCTCACAAAGAAACAATCATCAGATGCAAGAAGCGTGCATCATTATACCGAAGATGATTACGAGACCCGCGAAATATCACAGGCAAAGTGAACGAGGAGCAGAATTCAAAGAAGGGGCGAAGCGCACGGCTTCTACTGATGTGGCATCCATGAATTCTGACGACCAGAAAACACCTCTGCCAGAGGAAATGGAAGCAAAGAGGATCTGCTAATGAAATGTCGCCACGGAACCATGTCCTTCGTTGATTGGCCTTTGGATTGCCACGTGGGACATGTGTGAAGGTAAGCACTAATTTTCAAGCTCTGTACCTCTTCCAGTTTCGGTCACCTTGTATAACCTGCCATTTTCTGATGTCAGGTCAGGAAGCTACGAATTCTTGCTCGATCACCTATTGCGAGGAGTGGCCAGTACAAACGCGGAAATTTTGTCATTCTCCACATTCGAAAATTGGATCTACAGCTGTAACCTCCAAATTTGGAGCTGGGCAAGGGCCAGCGGTCGGTCATCCTTCCGAATTCCAACCTGCAAATTCAGAAGCGATCCTAATTCATGGCTAGGGCTCTCCTTCCCCCTTATCAATTCCCAATTCGCTTATTGGGCTGCCAGCAAAAGCCGCTTTACTGACCACATTTTGCCCCGCAGGCTTGGGTCACAACTGCTGCAGCTGGGATTCCAAAATACTGTCCGCCAAGCTCTAGAAGCCTTCTCGAGTTCAGTTGTGCATCCCGTCCACCACATTGTACTAGAGAGCTGCCAAGAAGATCCCAGTTTAGATTCCGCACAAAGGCATACGAGGTTGTAGGCTACGACTAACGCATCTCACGTTTCACGAACCTGTGCGCGTCCAGCGCTTTCCCGAAGACTTCTGAATGCCCGCTGGCCAGACCTAAAACTCCTTTATTTGAACGCTGCTGTGGGCAAACTTCGCAGTCCTTGTCGCCATCAGTGAACTTCCTCAATCTGATGTCGCCTGTGCATGTCCGCTCCTCGTTGTACGCGCCAACAGCAGCTCCACTATCCCCGCACATGCAACCCCGCAACAGTACCTTTCCCCATCAACGGTGCTGTAGACTCTCCACCGTCTCAACATCCGCTGCTCTTCCTCGTTTTCCTCCAATCCCTACTACCCGCCCATCCTTGATTTCATGGACCACCGAAAGCCCGGCCAGCTCGCCTTCCTCGGGCAGCAGAAAGGCGCAGCAGGTCCGATTTTCCCTCAACGGTGCGTCTGTTTGCAGCGGCAGCGGATTTTCCCGGGGCACGGTAGGCGCTGGTTCCGGCGCCTGTTGCGGTAACAGCAGCCAGCTTCGCACCTCCGCTATTTTCCGCGTGTCTTCTTCCGCGCAGGCCTTATCCCCGCTATCTTCACCCGCTAGTGGGGGATTTCTAACGGCGGGAAATAATGGTGGCGCGGGGGGTAGTCCTGCGCACACGCAGCGCAGCCAGAGAACGGGAAATGGGAGGACGGGAGTCTCGCAAGGAGGCGCTGGGGCTCCCAACAGGGCTTTTATTAGAGGCATGGGGGTAGGACCGGGGCTCAGGAGAGCAGGAGGAAGCGGAGTTGGAAGACGCGGAGGGGCGAGAGAAGTTGGTGGGAGAAGACGAGTGGTGGTGCGAGCTGTGGGGCCTGAGGTAGCCTCGAATGCGGTTGACGTGATTGGATCGCTGGGCCTCGATACACTCACGTTTCTCGTGGCCACCGTTATTGTCATTCCCGCCTTCAAGAGCCTCAAGATAAGCCCGGTAAGGCCGGAGGGGGAACCCCACTGCATTCCTCCACCACCCCCTTTCTGGGCAGACTGGAAACTGAACAGCCTATTTTTGAGGCTTGAGAACTCACTTGAGTCGATTCGTATCAATGGTGACCTCTTTCGCGTACATTCCCGTTTCTCTGTCTAGTATCCTCATCGGTTTCGAGCCCTGGCGCATTGCAGATTCTCGGATTTCTTCTATCGGGGGTTGCTCTTAACGAGTTGGGGCTCATTCGGAACATCACCGACGTGAAGGCGCTGAGCGAGCTCGGGATCCTCTTCCTGGTGAGTGCGCATGGCGCCACAGCCACAGCTGCTAAACCGAACGAAAACTCGGACACTAAGGCGAAGCGATGGAGAGAATAACCAAAACAATACTCCTGCCGCAATCGCCACTGTATGACGCACTTGCTCGCTATGTAGCAGCACAACTGGGACTTTGTCGACACCTGTTGCTCCCCCCCCTCCCACTTTCCACGTTCTCCGTCGTTCCTCATTCCCCCATCATTCCCCTCCTTCCCCCACTACCCTTTACCACCCCCAACCGCTCCTGCCCTCCTCACACTCAGCTGTTTGAAATGGGCCTGGAGCTCTCCCTCGAGCGTCTCAGAGCACTCGCCAAGTTCGCATTCGGCATGGGCCTTCCCCAGGTACCACCTGCTCCCGACATCCCGCTCCCCAAGTACCTCCTTCCTTCTTACCCCTTCCCCCGGTTACCTCTTGCCACTTTCAGTTGTCACATTGCCCAGGACCGCCCATAGGCTCCGCGTGCGTCTCCTCTCCCGACTTGTCACTTCTGTCGCTTTCCACCACCTAATTTCCCAGTTTCACGCGGTGCCATCTGTCTGTACCCAGTATATCAAGCCCCTCTTAGTTTTGAGGCGCCTCAAAACTAGACTCCTATCACGCGGTGCCATCTGTCTGTACCCAGTATATCAAGCCCCTCTTAGTTTTGAGGCGCCTCAAAACTAGACTCCTATCACGCGGTGCCATCTGTCTGTACCCAGTATATCAAGCCCCTCTTAGTTTTGAGGCGCCTCAAAACTAGACTCCTTTCACGCGGTGCCATCTGTCTGAACCCAGTATATCAAGCCCCTCTTAGGACAGGTACAGAGAATGCCAATCGCTCCCCCTTCCTCCCTGCATACTTTCCGCACTGCAGGTTCTCCTGACAACCCTGGCCTTCACATTATTTGAGCTGCCCATAGACAATGCCATTGGCACCCGCGCGCTCGAGTTCCTCTTTGGGGCCAAAGCCGACCTGGTAGGTGCTTTGATAACCTAGGCGCCTCAACACACAACTGAAGTCAGGATTGGGTAGGATATACGCACAAAAGGTTGCATCCATGGTTAAGAACAGTTCTCCTGGCAAAACTCTCTTGAAGCCACTGCGCATGCGTGCCCCATTCAATGCTCATGGCTGGTCCTCCCCCCCACACCCCATCACAGGTGAACATCCGGTCGTTGGATGAAGCTGTTGTCATAGGAGCTGCTCTTGCGCTCTCCTCCTCCGCCTTCGTGCTTCAGGTGGGCGTTCCTTCTCCCCAGGGCCCGGCTGAGTCGGTAGTGTTCGACCGGCATCCAGTCCATATCCGGTCAAGTATCCAGTCACATTTGCTCGAAGTCCTAATCCTAGAAACATGGTACATATCAAATGTGAGGCATCTTATCAGCAATCAGCGACAACACAACTCATCACATCCTCTTCTTCTCCGCACTCCTTTGCACGCTTTTCTCCCCCCTTCTCTTCCCCCCCTCCCCCTCTCCCTCGCTTCCCCCCACCCACCCTCGTGCCCCCTCCTTTCCTCCCCGTCCCCCCTCCAATTGCATCATCCAGCTGTTGTCTGAGAAGGGTGAGCTGGCCACTCGCTTTGGGTCGGCGACTCTCGGCATCTTGCTGCTGCAGGACATCGCAGTCGTCCCGCTGCTCGTCATCCTGCCCATCCTGGAAACCGGGGTAAGCAGCACCAGCAAAGACATGCCAACTTTTCCCACGTCCCAGCTCTAATAGCAGTATGACACCTGAGCGCAGCGGAACCTCATGATGCTGCACGCTGACCTGGCATGGGGACATATGACGTGCTACCACCACATTGACATCAGGTGCTGGTCCCAACCCCACGCCTTGGTCACTCACTCACCTACCGTCTAATCTGTACTGCTCCCCACCCCACCCCCCCCCAGATCCCCCAATATTCCTAGCCTTATCTGCTGACCAATCTCCGTTCTCTCCCCCTTCCATGCTCTCCGGACTTCACCAACGATTCCGTCTTTCCACTGTTGGCCCTGGAGCGAGCCAAGTTGCCAAGCTTTTTGCTGGGGCTATATTCTTGGCGCCTTAGCAGGCTCATTCCCACCTGCTTCTCGTTCATCCCTATTGCTCCCAGGACTTCACCGACGATTCCGTCTTTCCGCTGCTCGCCATGGAGGGAGCCAAGTCGCTGCTGGGGCTCGGGGTGCTGCTTTACACAGGGCGGATCGCACTTAGACGGCTGTTTGAGGTGAGGCCGCTGCCTGCTAGCATAAATGTCAAGTTGCTGCTGGGAATTGGGGGGGAAGGGCGAGGGAGACAGACATGGGGGGAAGGGCGAGGGAGACAGACATGGGGGGAAGGGCGAGGGAGACAGACATGGGGGGAAGGGCGAGGGAGACAGACATGGGGGAAGGGCGAGGGAGACAGACATGGGGGGAAGGGCGAGGGAGACAGACATGGGGGGAAGGGCGAGGGAGACAGACATGGGGGGAAGGGCGAGGGAGACAGACATGGGGGGAAGGGCGAGGGAGACAGACATGGGGGGAAGGGCGAGGGAGACAGACATGGGGGGAAGGGCGAGGGAGACAGACATGGGGGGAAGGGCGAGGGAGACAGACATGGGGGGAAGGGCGAGGGAGACAGACATGGGGGGAAGGGCGAGGGAGACAGACATGGGGGGAAGGGCGAGGGAGACAGACATGGGGGGAAGGGCGAGGGAGACAGACATGGGGGGAAGGGCGAGGGAGACAGACATGGGGGGAAGGGCGAGGGAGACAGACATGGGGGAAGGGCGAGGGAGACAGACATGGGGGGAAGGGCGAGGGAGACAGACATGGGGGGAAGGGCGAGGGAGACAGACATGGGGGGAAGGGCGAGGGAGACAGACATGGGGGGAAGGGCGAGGGAGACAGACATGGGGGGAAGGGCGAGGGAGACAGACATGGGGGGAAGGGCGAGGGAGACAGACAT